GCCATTCGCTATCGGAAATTTTACTTGTTATTGACTATGAACATGTTATTTGATCTGATTTTATAATGTTTTGTTTGCCGGTTATTGCAATTTATAAACATAATAACGAAAAAAATCGAGGATTTTTTTCGTGTTAAATTCGTGTTGATGGGTTGGTTCGGTATTGTGTTGACCCGTCGATCGGTTGTTCGATCATGTGCACAAGTCGTGCCACGAATGCTCGACAATTTCTCAAGTCGTGTTCGTCTCAAGCGGGTCAACACGATTAGTTTAATCGACTCGTGTTCGATTCGACGTCTCGTATTTGGATTGACGTATTTTGTAGGATCCGCTTACGCCGATACGATACGAACACGACTTGTCACTCATGGCAGCAGTGAGTGGTCGGACTAGTGTGTTAATTATATTGATTCGGGATAAGCTTAATTTTTCAAAACAATCGCAACGGATTACGATGATAAGTCAGTATAATCCACTAGACATCTACAATACCCTTCCTACGGCGTTATCTTTTTACGTGCTATCGATATTTTGAAAATTATGTCATTACCCGTAAAATAAGATTAATAAGTATCTAATACTAAAGACACATGAGAAAATGCTTAGAATTCCATTTAATTTTTTCCTCAAAATTTTTTTTTTTTTTTTTTGGGAGAAGCCCCATCCCATTATTTTGAAATTAGGTACGAAACTGTCGGGTTCTCTTTTGTCATCCCACCCCACAAAAGGAAAAAGTCCACTCCCATCCCAACTCGCACGGCCCCCGCGCGTGCCCATCACCGCCCAATCGCAGCTCCTGCAAGCGAAACTCCCCCTCGCCCCAGCGGCGCGTGGTCCCCACGCGTGGAGTCGAGCGTGAGCGCGTGGGGGTGGGGACGCGACGGCTTCCGTACTGGTCCAAGGGGGAAGGGGGGTGTCTTTAAAGCTCTCACTTACGTCAGCACGTGGGCGAGCCGCGGGGGGGGCGGTGGTCCCTCGGGGCTCGAATTTTTGCACTACGGAGTCCCACGAAAAGCCGAGCCTGTTCTGTCCTCGGTTCCGATCTCGTTTCGATCTGCTCCGTCTCGATTGTCGCTTCTAGTGCAAACAACAACCACAGCAACAGCAACAGCAACAGCAACGGCAACGGCAGCAACAACAGCAGCCTCAAAAACTAAAAAGCACGTTGGTGGGAAGTCTCTAAGGGACAGATATGTCCGGAAAACGCTTGGCGAATTGCCCGAGACAGCGGCGTGTCGGGTCGGGGTTCGGATGGAGCGAAACGTTCGATATGAGCCGTGACTAGGATACCCGTCTCCCCCGTAACGCCCGAACCCTGGACGGACATGGGTCAAAAAGATTTGGCATTGATTTACCGGGGTGGTGGTGAAAGAAGATCGTGGCCCGTTCTGCGGAAACGGGGGTGTCAGGTGTGCGCTCGGATTCCGACTGGTATTTCTGGCGTTATGGGAATAATTTTTGTATACTGGCGGTACTGGTACTGGTACTGGTACTGGTGTCTTGGTGTGTGGTGGTGGGGAGAAAGGAGATGGTTGGGTACGGAGGTGGTGAGCATTACATGCAGATAACGATAGACGCGACAATAATGAGGAGGGAGAGGGAGAGTGGGGGGAGGACATAATTATCTTCTACTACTTTGTCTAGTAGTGTGGTGCGAATGTTGGAAGCATGGAGGCAAAGCAGAGGCCGAGAATGGCGGCAACCCGTTCCTCCACCTCCTCAGCCTCATACCGAAAACCGCCACATTATCGCGCTATTATTGTCATTCTCGCCTTTTTAGAAAGCGAAAAGAATGGGAAAATATCTGCGGTATAAGACATGGGTCCTCTCTTAGTCACCTGCCTCGGGAGCTCCTCTTGAGATCTGTCTGTCTCTCTCTCTCTCTCTCTCGCTCTCTGTCTATGCCAGGGACGCCTTAGGCCTGTCTGAAGCAGAGAGAGTTTTGGGGAAGAGAAGTTGGGTGACTTTCTTTCCTTGTGTGCTTAGAGAACGACCTGGAGATCTGCCATTTTGGTAAAAGTTTGAATCTTTATGAGGGGAGATGGAAATGGCACTGTTCTTGGGACTGATTTGAAGCGGTGACCGAGCTGAAGCATACCCTTTTTTGCGAGACCATGATGGTACATCACGAGAATCACCCCGGCGGCGGCGGTGTTGGAGGAGGGGGTGGTGGTGGTCCCGCCGGTGGTGTGTTTCCCAATGTTGTTCTTCTTCCTTCTGATGTCTCCGGTGGCGCTCGTGGCGATAATGGTGGACTGGGGGGTGGATTTGTGAGGACTCTGCAGCCTTATGGCATGGCCTCTGCTGTTCACACTGCCTTCAAATCCCCTGGTATAGCCTCTCACTTTTGGAAGTCACTCCACTTCGCTCTGTTTTAAGTGTTGCCGTGGTTAAAGATCGCATCTTTGTCTCACGAATCACTGAGAAAACCTGATGGGTTATTGTGACAGTCACTGAGGAAGCAGCTCTCTCTCTCTCTCTCTCTCTCTCATCTCGTGGGCTTTTCGATTTTTTTTTGTCTCTGCAGGAGCAATGTTGGGATATCCTTTCACGCATGCACAGTGGAAGGAGCTTGAGAGGCAAGCTATGATTTACAAGTACATGATGGCTTCTATTCCAGTACCTCCTGAACTTCTCATCCCTATCTTAACGCCCAGAGACGGTCCTCCTCGTTATTCCTGTAATGCCTCATCTCTCTCTCTCTGCTCTGACATGCAGATTATACGCATTGCTTCTGTATCTGTTCTCCTTTTTTTTTTTTTTCTTTTCCTTGTCTTTTTTGCTCCGTTTGTTTGATTTGATGGGTTTTGGGTGCTTTCTCTAGTTTACCAGCAGAAACAACATTTATATTGGCTTCTCATTTGCGCTTGTTGTATCCTTGATGTCTCTTCCATCCCTTTTGCTTCAATGATACTCTGTTTTCTGCATCTGATGAAATAGACAGTGTCTGCTGATAACTTCTTTATGACTCTCTGTGGAAAAGCTTCAATCTATGTTTCCTGTCCTTAGCTTTCCCAGATTGTTGTTTCACAGGCAGCTATTGGTCACCGCTCCTTTGATGGCTTCAGTATCTACCCGTTCTTTCCCCTTTAAAGTTTCTTCTGTACTCCCTACCTCTAGCAAAAAACATTCTCGCTGGGGTCTACTACATCAGCCTCTTCATCTATTTGATTTAATGCATGGTATTTATACACAGCTCAAAAAACACTTAAATCTATATATGCCGTGTGCTTGTCCTTGCTGAGGAAAAACTGCTCTATGGTTGGGTCAAGTTGGGTTTTCAGTCAAATCTGTGTGTGTGTGAAGACTGATGTAGTGGTTTCTTCTTCTTGTGGTGGCGATGGCAGTTGGGAATGGATATAGTCTAAGGTACTCAAGCAATGGAGATCCAGAGCCAGGGAGGTGCAAGAGAACGGACGGTAAGAAATGGAGGTGCTCAAGAGAAGTGGCTCCTGATCAGAAGTACTGCGAGCGTCACTTGCACAGAGGCCGTCCTCGTTCAAGAAAGCCTGTGGAACTCCATCCCTCCGTTTCCAAAAAGACCCGCCTTCTTCACCAACCCAGTCCTCTTCCAAAAGCAGAGGACCCTCCTTTGTTTCTTCACAAGCCCAGTCAGAGTTCTCACTCTCTCGCATCTCCCCTCAAGGAAGCTAGGTGAGTGAAAAATCCACCCCAAAACCTACAACTACTGAGTAGCTACTATTCTATGTTTGGATTTTGATTATTTTAGTCTTCTGCAAATCAACGAGAAGTGCATATGCTTGATTACTTATACATCAGTATGCCCTCAGGATTAGGAAAAGTCAGTTTAAGCTTTTACACATGCACTCGCTTTCGTGCGGAACATGATGAAGTTACGGAGATGCTTATATAAGAATCTTTTGTGGCTTACATGTTATATTAGCTAGATTTTGACTTGTTTCTGCATAATCCATTTCCAAGGAACACGGACTGGCTCATGATAGGAGAATCTTCTCCAGTTCCAATGCTGGATCAACAACAATGGCCAAGTTCGATGCATAGCAAAATAGGATCAACTGCTGAGAGCTCACTCGACAATTTCAATCCTTTTCTAGCGAAAGAAGAACCCCTGAACCTAAGTTTTTCTACTGGTTATCCTTCCGGTGAAATCCATCATTTCAGCAAAAACCAATTTTTCCTCGACTCATATTCACTTCCCCTTGACAAGCCCCAGATTGAGAACCCCAAGGGATTCATTGATGCCTGGTCTAATTCGGTATCAGCTGGCAACAGTAGCCGCTGTTCTGTTTCATCAGATGAAAAAATCTCTCTTTCCTCACTCACTCTGTCCGTGGGTGGCAATCATTCAATCGAAGACGAAATGGGCCGAGCGCATTTAGGCTTCAGTCTATTGGATTCTGACCGGAATCGAAGCAAGAACAACTCTCATGCCACTTCTTGGCTTGGTTCGACTTCATGGGTTTCTTCAACGCCTGGAGGACCATTGGCCGAAGTGCTTGGACCTGGTATAAATGCGACCCTTTCTAATCCTCCATCTCCTGGCGCAGGTAACAAAGATCCTGGTAGTGTTTTGACAACCACAGTTTCTTCTCCTTCAGGGGTCTTGCATAGAACGTTGGCTTCTTTGTCTGACAGTAGTGGCGGTAGCAGTCCGACCCCCTCCAGTTCCATGGCTAGGTCAGAAATCACTGTTAAGTGGTTCAATCCTAACAAATTGGCATCGTCTAATTGAGGAGGCAAACTTTTCTTATCATCTTTGTGCGTGAGCTGTTCTTGAATGTGTTCCTGATGAATTTGCATTGCAATTTACTTTGGGCAAGTTGTAAAATGATTCGTGAAGTTGAACACCTATTGCTGGAAATCAAGACAGATTGTTAATTTGAAAGCACGCAACCAGCATACGAGTGCTGCTGATTCCTTCCTTTTCCCCTCTCTTGCTCACTGGAGATACTCCTCGTTGTTTTTAGGTGTTGCTGCATAAATGCAGAATAAATTTCTTAAATGTTGTCTACTAACAATTAAATAAGCTTACAAGTATTTTATTGCAACACAATGGCGGCATTCCCTCCTTAAGTCTGAATGTTTTTCATCGATCCAAAACAGTGTTGGAGCGTCAAGGCGCTAATCCGAAACATTAGGGATGTATCATTGCACTATGATGGACATTCAAACTTATTGGATACTTGGTTCATGATGACACCATTTGCACTTGCACATGCTCAGCTTTCTACCATTCATCTTTGAACTTCCAAATACAAGAAAGAAACCATCACATACAGAGGCTGGCTACATTCTGATTGTCAGTCACTCACCTAAAATCAGATCCATTTCTTACCTTGAATGACTTCTGGGATCATTCCACGAACGGTTGCTCCCAAGAGCTCCTCTCTCATTGCTCGGGCTCTTCAAACGATGATGAAATTCACCATCCATTTTGCCAAACGGATCAGGAAGAGGAAATGACAGGCGTTTTCTCGCTGATCCTGTCCTTTCTCTCACTGGAGTAGGAATGCTCTGCCTTGGTGCGCTCTGGGACCGTACCCTAGATTTTGCAGATGCAGTTGCAGCCATGTAGTTCGGCTTCAGTCCAGCGCTCGAGCCACTTAATCTAGGTTCGGGACTGGAACCGTAACCTGGTGCTTGGGGCGATTCTTGGTGGTTCTGGTGATATCTGATTAGGCGGGGGCTCGAAGACAGTACGACTTGGGTATGATGTCTCGACTTAATTGGATATTGATACGAAAGAGAGGCTGGGCGGTGCCCGCTTGTATCGACTTCAATGGTTTTTATGGTGTCTCCTTGGTCACACGAGATTCTACTTTGATCGCTTCCTGTTATCCTCTGATCAGACCTCCGGGGCGCGTCCAGGGTTGGTTCTTCCTCCCTATCAAGTAGGTCTCTGCTGCAATCACTCCATATCTTCTAATAGATCATGCAAAAAAGTGAAAGTGTAACTAGATGCAAAGCAAAGCTAGGTGAGGTTGGATGATTGCAGAAGCACAATGGGGTTTCCAACCGAACCTGTTGAGAGAAAGCAGAAGCTAGGTCTCTCTCGCTTTTCCAAGTGACTTCCTTCCTCTTCTCCGACATGGATTTGGTCTCCGCTAACTTGTGCATCAGGCGATAGTTATTCCTATCACAGGAAGCGCTTCTTCCATCTCTAGACTGCGATGAAAGTTGTGAGTTTCAGCAAAAACCGAAAATAGCAATAGCAGATATGGACAGACCGGTCCACATGGACTCGACCAATGTCGCTGCTGAATGCGGCGAACGCTACAGTAGTCTTGTCGACTCGGCAAAATCGGAAAATAATTTGGTTTTCTGAACCTTATAGTGTTGTGGCCTGAAGCACGAAAACCTGGTTTGTCATAGTAATATAACTATATCTTGTTCAAAATGGATCCTCCGGAAAAGGGAACCACATGAAAAAACCTAATTGACCACGATATTCTCCGGTAAACAGAGCAAGTGAAAATGAAAAGCCTGAACTTTTGCTTCTCACACTCAACAACAGGCAAGTGCTAGGGGCCGGCATCTGAAGGTTGATGTCCATAGATCACCTACGCTTTATGCATTACTAGCGATTGAGAAAGGAATGTAATCTTACGGCGAGTTTGAGGTCGAGAGAGTCGATAGAACTCCAAAAGCTGCTGAATTCGGGAAACCTGCATTTTGTGCTCCCTGCATCCGAGACCGAGAGCCTCTTACGTTGCTCACATACCTGCGCTTGAACTCGAACCAAAGCCTGCATGCATTTGAGAGTCATCTCCGCTCGCTTTCTCACATTGCGGCCTCTTACTATTGCCTGCAGCTTCACCAATCCTTTAAGCGCCCGAAGCGCCCTCCTCGCCTAAGATTTACACGACACAACACAGACCTTAATCACTATTCACATGGTGGTGGAAATATAACTATCAATCAAGGCAGCTTTCCCACGTGTTTCAAGAAAAAGTTCAGTACGTATGTCGAATGTGAGTACTAATTTACCAAATATCCCCTAAAGCTTGTCTGAATGACAATGGCGGCGCAGTGTTCTTTCTGAACATCAGTGCGAGGCCTACTGATATGCGGGAGGGCTCCAAGAGCCAACTTTGCCGTCGCGACCTCCGCTTGAGCAGCCGCCGTGGTCGCCATTGCTACTTCAAGTTCAATACCATCTGCATGGCTTTCTTCGACGACACTTCTCATTGCTGTCGTGCTTATGGTCCGTTCGCGGCAGCATTGTCGGGCTGTCGCAGCTTCTTGATTAGCAGGCCTCAAGAGCGTCCACCTTCTCTTCCCTCTCCCCTGCAAAGAAAACAAAAAATCAACAAAAAAGGAAGGAGAAGAAAATCACTTTCTTGACCCTCTGAGAAAATTGACGCAAATGGATATGTACCTTGTCTTCTTCGTCTTCTTCCTGAAATTGTTCTCTCCTCCTGCAAATCCTTTTCAAGGCACTGAACCAAGAGCTTCGTCCGATACTTTTGCCCATGAATCAAGAAGCTAACGTAGCATCAACTTGACAAAGCTCAACTGAAGCCAAGACGTGCATCGAAGGAAATAATCTCTATCTATACGAGCTTAGCCTGGCTTAGTACGTGGTTGGAGTCATCGAATGCGCAAGGGAAAGGAACAGAGCTGAGATGAGACTTGTGGGTGCAATCAATGGAAGTGGGCATTTCTGGTCCATTCATGTGGGAACAGACGCTGCCCAGTATTATTTGAAACGTCCATATATGTGCCACTGTGAGAATGCAGGGCTCATATGATGTCGAAAAGAAATGGGTGCTCTTTTTGCGGCAAAGTTGTATCAGTCACGCCTGAGACAGTTCATGAAAGAGGTGAGCAACCTCGAAAAGGATGAAATCCACCCACATGAAGAGAGAGAGAGAGAGAGAGAGAGAGAGAGAGAGAGAGAGAGAGAGAGAGAGAGTCCTCGCATCTCCTTTCCTGTTTACATGTTTCTGTAAAATCAAGTGAATTAGTCAATCATATCAAGATCATCTGGAACGGGTGAACACCATCTTAACTCCACCTTTTATATTTAGACTAGTGCTAAAGGCTGCCGTGATGTTATTAGGAAAAATAGGATTGCTAAAGGTGAGTGCGCTGAGCAGTCTTGAGTTCATTTCTGTTCGATAAAGTTGAAGAGAATAACTCCATACGGTCTACTATTGCAGAGTTCAAAGTACACAGCTTTAACTTTATGTAAGTTGAAGAGAAAGGGGTTGTCCCACTAGCGAAGAAGATTAGTCAAAGTGCCTTGGATTCTCTGGGGGGCTGTTTGCTTTATTCGTCTGGGTGCGTTGTGTTATTGCCCTGAAGAATCAAAAGAAAAGGTAAAGGAGAAGGCTATAAACTGGCCATTCATAGGGGCACCAAATCGCAGAGACCCGAGGACCAGTAAGATTTAATTCTTGAACTGTTGAGAAAACCTTCTCCTCCTTTGCACGGTTTTGGGCTATTTCTAGGTTATGCTGTGAACATTACCCAAGTTCGTGAATAAGATGTTGTGAACAGTGTGGGGGTTGAGGCGTGTCTTTAATATAACAAAACTTTTGCATGATGCAAGAAACGACCGACAGCAACATCTTGAGCGGTGACAGATGTTGGAACCCAGGGACTTCTCGTAACCTCTTCCCTGCACACGTATTACACTTATCGACCTCGCAAAACTATCCCCAGGAGAATCATATTCAAAGCTCGCACTTTGGATCACACTCAACGTTAACAGAGCATCTGGTTTTAGTGAAATGGCCGGGTCCTTATTGTCGTACGCTTCACCTTTCGTATGGGTAGAAGCCAGGGCTCCGCCTAGAGCGGCAGCGCCACAGCCGCTGTCGGTTGGGCTTCCGTTGAGGAGTTGTCGCTGCCGTTTGTTGTGGGATTAAAGGGATTCGGATAGACTTGAGCGTTGGGCCCATTTTAAGTCCTATATATTGTACTCGTATGAGAGATCATTGTAACGAGTGGTTGTGATTGTAAAACCAAAATATCATAGTGGAATCCCTTTGCATGACGTAATCCTAGATAAACTCGTGTGTCAATTGTTTTTTCTATTATCTATGTGATTGTTTTGATTCGATTCGGATTTAACCCCATCACCCGATACATTTTATCTGATGGCAGGGATGATGGATCATCTATCTCCGATGAGGATGATGCGCCAGATGCTCGACGCCATTGACCAGGCCTTCGACGGCGACATGGACAGCGGCGGGGGATGGGAGATCCGCCCCCCATGGGACATCCATGAGGACGACCGCGAAATCAATACGTGGTTCGACATGCCGGGGCTCTCCAAGGAGGACGTCAAGGTCTCCGTTGAAGACGACGAAGACGACGAGCTCATCATCCAGGGGGACCACAAGCAATCGAGCGGAGGAGACGGCCCGTGGTTGGCCAGGACCTACGGCTCATCCTATACCCAAGCTCCCCGACGACTGCAAGAGGGACAAAGTCGAGGCTGTGCTCAAGAACGGAGTGTTGCTCATTTCGATCCCGAAGGCCAAAGTGGAGCGCAACGTCATTGATGTTGAGGTCCAGTGACAAGTAATGCGAGTAGGATTAACCGTGTCAAGTGCCTGTTATGGAGATCCTGTACTGCTTGTGTCTCTGTTGTGTTCCCTTCCCTCGTCTTATATGTGCATATGTTCAAGAAACTATCTTTGCCCACCATCTCTTTCGGATCTCGTAGCCCCTATAATGGGCTTGCTGAAGTTGAGCCCAAGATGAGCAGAAACTGTTCATGGCAACAGAACAAGAGATCTTCGCGTTTCGATGCACCTTTCGTTTTCATTCTCGCTCGTCAAGAACAGTTGTGATCAAGAAACGTGGCCTCCTAAGTGGCAGACAGTCGGCAAAGATAGCCGCCGTAGTGACAGCCCACAGAATGATGTCAAACCTTGGATACTCTGCACCCACGTCACCCGATGGTTTGACTCTCGCGTTTCTCTCCTCTCTTTCTCGCCACTGTCCAATTGGTGTTATAGCCGTTGTCTTTCATCGCTTTGCCCCCGGTATCTAATGCTTTCCAGAGGATGCTCAACGTACACCGGAACACGAGATTTACGACGAAATGAGTGTATGTGGGTTTTCGTTTTCCACTGTTTGTCTTTTCCTCTGGCTAATAATGCCTCGTCGCCCATCCAAAAACAAGAGATGCCCGCACGTTGCGACGTCGTGACTCGTGCAAGAACGTTCGTCGACTTCCGCCGCTGGTCGAGGGGCGTCATAATATTCACGCCCCCGAGCATACGAACATGTCGCCAATGTTTTCACACGAAAAGGGGCGCATTAAGACCCATCCATCCCCCCAACATCAAGAATTGCATGGTGATGGCTTCGCAAGAAAAGCGAGGCGACGAGATATGGAAAGCGAATATAAAAATAAACAATTTCTTGGATGAGGAGAGAGCGAGATGTTGAGAGTTGAATACAGCGAGGCACGTATCGTCTTCGGACCCATTAAAAGTGGAAATTCATGGTGCTGATACTGATTAACTATGGAAATCAATATTAAATTTATCGCCTTCTTCTTTGGAAACCTCTTCTCTATACGCTCTAACCACCCCCCGCTCGCACTGTTCTTGTCGTTTCTTAATTTCCTTTTATTCGCCATTGAAATGATCTTTGCCCTCCATGATTTCGTGCATGTGCATAAATTTTTGTCACTTTTCGCATTGATTTCCTTCTGTTCTGATCTTTTCCTTCCCCCCCTCTATCAACGGTTCCAGTTGAAAGTTTTGCTTGGAGGCGGTTTTCTCTCCTTCCTTGTTGAGGGAATCTTTGCTGGGGGGGGGGGGGGAATCTGAGAGGGCTCTATGCGAATGTTTCTGATATCAGCTGGTCCTGCTATAAAGTGAAGGAAGCACACTTGATGACCATGATCATGGTCCTAGACTTTGTTTTGACCAGATTCTTTTGCTAACTGCTTTTGGGTTCCTGTGTTTTCGTAGGGGTGTATTTGAGATCACACGGGCTCTCTTCACTTTCTCCTTCCTAACCTTTTTCTTGCGATTTTTGGGTTTCTTCGAATCCGAATCTTCGACGCATGTCCTGCTGTTCCTGTTGTTGTTGGCAAGTTTCCGCCCTTCGGACCTAAAATGTCTCACTCGCAGCCGGCACAGAAGGAGATGGTGAACGCGAGAGAGGCCTCGCAATCGGGAGACACGACCTACACCAAGATTTTCGTGGGTGGGCTGGCTTGGGAGACTCGGAGAGACACGTTGAAGGGCTACTTCGATCGGTTCGGGGAAATCCTAGAGGCCGTGGTGATCGCCGACAAAGTCACCGGAAAATCCAAGGGATATGGCTTCGTAAGTTACTGTTAGCGACATTCCGCCTTTCCTTTTTCGCAACTGTGTCTCACCGGTGGTTGTTCAATCCTGTTTGATCATTTTTTGTACCAGGTGACATTCAGAGACCCGGATTCGGCGAGCAGGGCTTGTCAGAATCCTTACCCTGTCATTGATGGGAGGAGGGCTAATTGCAATCTTGCTTCTCTCGGTGCTCAAAAGAATCGATTCTCGACAAATCAACAAGGTGCTCATTCTTGATGGTCTCTGACAGTTTCTTTAGGAGTCCTATCAATTTGTTCAGCTGCAAGAAAATACATCTGTTGCATCGACCATGGAAAGCTTCAATTACTCTGTTTGGTTGTTCCTGCAAAGTAACTAGTTGTCTGGTTTCTCATTTTGGTGTTTCATCACTTCTGCGGACGATCAGATGGCCATTGGTTGTCACTAGCTAATGCCTTCAGGAGTACTTTCAAGTGCATTTCTACTTTTTGTGAATAATTGATATAATACCAGCTTTGCTCGCAACGTGCAGGAACTGAGAAATTTAGGCAGAAATCCGCATCAGCGGCACCCTCCAGCTTCAATGCGTCCTCTGCATATTTTCCGCAGTCTGCCCCCAATAACGCATTTACTTACTCTGCTTACGGGTATCAAAACAAATCATACAGTAGACAGTCATGTCATGCACATGTTTTTTCATACTCCCATCCTTCTCTGCTCTAAATTCCATTTCTTGACATTTCAGGTACCCGGGCTATCCTCACAACTTATACGCAATGGTTAGTCCAATTCCTTGCACTCATTGTAGATACCATGCATTCGTAGTCGTTTCAGTGCTTAATTCAGAAGTAGGAGTTTATTGGGAAACAATTGCACAGTCAAATTAGCTAAAAACCTATTTAGATGATGACTCTAGAAGGGAAGGCTCTATACGTTTTCATGCATCTTTTGTTGATCACTTTGTGCTAGTTGATCTCGTAAGGTAATGTCTTTTGAACGAACCGATTGTATGCATTGCAGAATTATTACAATGTATATGGGGGCCAACAGCATCCGACTTATTACCCTTCTCTGGCACCTGGATCTTCGGGGTTCTACCTAAACTACTATCCATTCTATGCACATCATGCGCAGAGTAGTTCGACGCAGTACCCGAAATTGATGCGATATCCGCTTCTATCTCCAACAGTCCATGCCTTAGAGTTCTCGTCAACAACTACCTCGGCTTCTTTGCTACCTGTTGTTACCAGTTGAGTATAATAGTGCTCCTTGTCTAAAATTTAGTATTTCGGTTTTAACCCGCGGAACGTAAAAAGATTGTCCCTGTACCGGATGGTTGAATTGCAGCACAATCAACTGCATCAGCAGTTCCTGCAGAAACGAGGGACACACCAGTGCACAAAAATGGCTAAAAGATTCACGGGGCAGGCATAGGAGCAAGGTTCAAAGTCTCTTGGGGCTGCTGAGTCCAAAAATATACGGAGGCATGAAGGAGCAAAGTTTTCACTTTGACCATCTTGTAGGCTAGGTCTTTTCTTACTTCTTCTTTTCCATTGACATGGATTACAGAAAGTCATATTCAGCTTCGTTTCGCACCATCACACACATTCACATACACGCATATTGCATGCTACACTCGACATGGAATTATCTTTTCTAACTTGAAGTTGAACTCAATTATTGACATTGTTCTGGTTTATACCTCTATAATGTTAATAAACAGCACTAGCGATCGTCCTAATCCCCGAGCCAGAAATCCTTCTGGGCCTCGTATGGATGCCTAGTAGCTTTACATACTGGCCTGGTAAAATTCAGTTGGGCATCTTCAATTGAATAATCATATAAAAACGCCAAAAATATGCATCGTCACCCGAGAAAAAGTGTAAGGAGAAGGGTTGATCGCGCATTTGCATCTTAGCTTTGTATGTAGGATTGCACAATCGCGCAACCGCCAGATGCGAATTAAGATTGTTGAAACTTGAAACTGCTTTGCTGAGGAACGACATTCCTATCAGACGAGCAAATTCACTTCCATGCATTAAGATGAAATATTTTCTTGGCAAAGCCTCGTGCTGAAGATTTGTTTGAACACTTTCGAGATACCATTTGACAGTAGGTAACATGCTGACGCAAATGCTCTCGTCACATGCCAGGACTTACAGAGTCAATTTGTCCCTGTAGTAGTATCAAAGGTTGTCTTGTAGCCTATTGAGTATTTGTCATTGGGCTTTTTTTTTAGTCCAGAGACCTTTGACATTGCAAGCAACAACATAAAAATGAAAATAAAGAACCAGACCTTTCACACGAATGATTAGGTTGCTAAACCAATGTTTCGTAAGCACTGATGGGCAACCATCTACTTTTGCTCATGAAATTGCTGAGACGACAGAAGTTGAAGCTCCGGCCTCTGAATATAAACAAACACTGACCAAAAGGTTTTCCGAGTCTGGTGACTCGATAAAGATGTCTCTCTCTCTCTCTCTCTCTCTCTCTCTCTCTCTCTCTCTCTCTCTCTCTCTCTAGATAGCCACCTGGATCTTATAACACCCAATTTAAGCTGATAATACTGCAAGGATATCCATTCCACTAACAAATCCAATTAACCGAAGCTCAAATTCATTTAACAGCTCATATGTCAACGGCAAAACATCCAGGAGTTAAACTACACAAATGGAACAAACAAACAATAAAAACTTTTGGGGTTTCTTCAAATATCACAGCAATCCTCCAGGGGGCAATCGTTCCACCGAAAATAGCAAGAACTCCATTGCACTATGCAACATGCACTAGACCACTCATATTCTCAAGATCTTCAAACTCTCCATGCTTAACAAACAAAACATGAAGTTGTCCTACATGTCCGAACAGATCAGGCTGAGATGGAGGAAAGGATACAGATAGATAAGCGGGCACATTGCACGTTGCAAGTGCCATATAGTGACTATGTACCTATGTATGTGTGATTAAATGTCTATCATCAGCAGATAAGTCCTAGAAAGATGATAATTAATGCGTTGGAGAGTGAGGAACTCGAGGCCTGACAGGGGTCTTCGATGGACTCACCCTGCACGCATATTATGAAGAAAACTGGTTAAAAGACAAGTGATTTCTACATTAATCTGGAGTTGGGGAAGGACAAATAGTTGGATCACAGATATCATGAAGAGATCACGAGGAACAACCTTATGGGCAAAGATCCCAAAACCACACCACTGCAACTAAGAGCTGCAATTGCACTTTCAGCCTGCAATTATGGTTAAGATGATCAATGAGCACTAGTGCAGGGTCAGCCAATGGCAACTGAAACCAAACTAGTCATAAATATGTTCTACAAATTTTTCTGAAGACATCATAAGGCGATGCTCTATAATTCATAGATAGTGAACACAGATAGTGAACACAGAAGGAGGCTTGTCATAAAAGAATCCAAAATCGACATAGATTGTCACGCCAACATCAAGTGAAATTCCAGAACCTTGACAAAATAACATACCCACAAAGACAGGATACCAGACTATGGTTGGTGATTTTTAGGGTTATCCTATGTAGCAACAATACCCCATACACCAATGCCCCAGCTATTTGCTCATAATTACCAACAGTGAACCCACTACAAGGTGCAGCAAGGCTTTTTTTCCCCCTAATATTCTCTTTCTCTCAAGCATTACAAAATGATGAAACCATGGATAAGCAATACATGTCATGGCTAATGTACCATACATCTATGCATATGCTAGAATACCACTGGTTCCGTCCAAAAAAAAGGAATACCACTGATCACAACTTCGTCCTAGCATAAAATATATATTTTTGTGTATTTCATTCAAATATCTACAGGTGAGTTCCATGAAATCAAATGAGAGAAGACGGCTTAGAGGCTAATGTTTCAACAGTTCATTGGCATTGACCCAATTAATACCAACAGGACAATGCACCGCCGCATCAGTTATAAATGTCTTTCCATTGTCTTGTACATAAAACAATTACACTGTGATGATATACAGCCATTCATAGCAGAACATTGATAGAAAGGCATTTAAAAGCTTAATTTCATCCTCGGCAAAGCAAGGCAGAGGGAGCCTTACTCGACCACACTAGAATTATGCTGATCTGTTTGAAGCCATCAGCAATAACAAATGCTCACCCAAACCTCAGAAGAGGCAACATTTGCTTAAGAAAGAAAGTATTTTCTTCCTCTTTAATCAGTACAGGACTAATCCATCTCAGGTGTAGCATTCTGCAAATTTTGTTTTATTTAAGCGCTACTATGGACCTTACTCTACACTTTAGTCCCTAATGTAGCAACACTTCTGCTCACCTGCCACATGCCAACCTCAGCACGAGTAGTCTATAATTTTTTTAGTCTCAAATTTTTTTATTTAAGTGCTACTCAACGTTAGCTAAAGCTCGCTTGGACAAGGCTTCAAACTCAATAAGACTCAAACTTCACACTATGCATTTCCTAACAAACCAGCCTTTCGACTTTCAGCTCGAGTTCTGACCAAAAAAAAAAAAAGACTTTCAGCTCGAGTAGTCTATAACAAGTTAACAACCACTCCCTGAGGGCCCTAAAACTTCAAACCAAGGAGGTTCAGCAAAGATCCACAGGTCATAAAATTGTTTAGTAAAGTGTTACAAGTGATTAAGATATGAACTCTATAAACCGGACATTTCCGTTGTCATTAGACAGGCAAAACCCAATTCCGCATGTAGGGACACAAGAAAGCACTCCAGTCGACTTGTGAGGATCAAACTCAGGTAATCACAGAGGATTCCAGCCAGCACCAGTAAGATGCGGTGTCTATTTTGCTAGAGAGATAATGGGAGACCATCACCACCAAGTGGCACTAACAGTGAACCTGACATTGAGGACCACTAAAAGCTAAAATTTTTCAGCACCAGTGCTCAAAAAATGAACAGTAGACTATAAACAGTGTTTTAGGAATACTATATTCCATATGCGTGATTTCACAGATGCTGAGGATCCTCTTTTAGGCATTAAGAGAATTTCCCAAATGTACAAGGAAACAGTGAAGCGGAGACCTGAGAGAGGTCGCTTAGTTGCAAACATCCCCAAGTTAAAAATCGTCAAAATTGAAATACTAGAGAGGGTCAACTGCTCAATAAAGACACCAATGTAAAGGCGGACATGAAAAGACAAAAACCTCCACAAGGAAAAATTAACTAACATGATATGATAGAAATATAGACAAAGGCATCGTTCTATGTGACTGGAAGGCCAAAACACCCAGCCATCACATCCCTCAGAAGCAATCTAAATTAAAAGGATCTCATCTCTTGGATTTGAAAATATTGCTTAAAGGGAAAAGATTCTTAACTTACTATGAAGAACCTGAATTCAAATTGTATCATTTCAGAGAGAACTTATATTCATAGACTGTAGTGGATAGCTATAGGAATTAAGCATCAAAAGATCTGGCTTTACCATCACAAACTCCACAAAAGCAATACGAGTTGAATGATGGTAGTCTCCAAGTAGCCTCAGACGGTGAACCTGCAGGAAGCAAATCCATACGTATTCAGCGAAAGGTAATCAAAGTGAAGCAAGGACTAAAATATTACTTAAGCTGCAACTGCTCACCTCTCCACAGAGTGACTCAAAGAAGAGCTTAACATCTGCTTGAGTAATCTGCATTGATAATCAACAAAATGAATAAGTGCAAACGCAATTCCACCTGGACATGTACTTCCAAAATAGGGAAAGTTCATTTCTACCGTTTTGTCAATGTTTGTGCAATAAACAGTTCTCGAGCACATCTCGCGTTCATCCTCGGACTGAAACCATGATGAAATCAGTACATAGTGACAACAAACAGAACAAGATTATAATGATCTCAGAGAAGATGGAAACACTTAGGTCAATACTAGAGAAAAAGGTATGATGAGATAATTGGTACAGTTTACTTACCCTTGGCAAAAATGTTGGATTAACAGGTGCAATCGCAGTTTTGGAAGGCTGAACCCTAATAGGATAAAAACCAAGAACAGTCCCCGAAAGATTCAAAGCAGCCCTTGCACCATCTGCGAGAAAAAGTAATGATTGTGTCAAAGTGAATGTGAAAAGTTTGCCATGGCACTATAACTATAAGTATGTTCAACCATATACCTTCATCAGTAAACTCAACAAAAGCAAACCGGAGACAAGAGCTTGGATCGCCACATACACGACAGTCAACAACCTTCAGCAGAAAAGAGAAGCTCTAATGAAACAGCACCGAAATGCGTCAAACCAGTACACCGAATCAATGAAATTCTGCTTACCTGCCCAAAGCTATTGAAAAGAGCTGCAAGTTGCTCTTCAGTTACCTATTTCAGAATAAATTACAGACACATTCAAACCCAGAGACAGGTTCCGGTAAGAGGGAAAGAATAAAACATTACGAGCAACAGATCACATTTCCATCAATGTACAATAACAATCTAGTAGAGCCATATGGCATAAACCAAATGCTTACCTGTTGATCAATGTCAGTCACATACACGGTTCTTCTAATTACCTCATGACGCTGCGCCATACTAGTTCTACTATTTATTCGCCGCTTACCCTGGCTATTGTTACTCTTCCTCTGGATAACAAAAAACAGAAAACTAAGGTAAGTAATGTGCTCAGGAGTCAGCAGACAATAGAAATGAAAATTAGATTAAGAACTACACATAAAAAAACCACAGCCTTCACTGAATGTTAAACTATTCGTTCCAAAACTGACAATAGTCCAACACCGGCGACATTCCTTTACTAATTCAGGGTAAACGAAATGAAGATCGCATCATTCAATGCTCTCACTTTTCTCAACCTTCTGAACTAACCATCAGATAACATTACGGAAGATTTCTAAAAATGAAAGTGCGGCTAGCGTCAATACCCGTCTCCCGGTATGTCCATTGCCATCGACCCCATCAATCTGCAACACAAAATTCTGGGGATAGCCAAAGCCGCCATTAGCTAAATAAGCAAAGGTCTGACCCAGTGAAGGTCCTGAAGGAGGCACGAATTCCTCAGCCATGGGATTCAGCTTCGACAACATATCCACCAGCTCCCTCACGTCGTTCACTCCACTCGACCTGAAATTACTTCCGTTCCGGCGAAGCCCGTCCCTCACCAGACCCATTTGACCATTTCTACTGCCCCTGGCGACCATGACTCTGCTGCTCACATCGTCGCCGTTGCCGTTGCCGGGCCGATCGAGCCGGGTCGCGGCATCGCTCCTGGGCTCCGATTTCCCGGAATCGCTCGAAGCGCTCCCGTCAGACGACAGGGCAGCAGCGTCCAGATTCTGACCCGACGCGCCGATCTTGACCCCAGCATTCTCAGCGACCGCCATGATCAAAGACCCACCTTTTATTCTTCCTTCTTCTCCCAAAAAGCTCCTTCCTTTTCCTCTCTTCTGCCCCAAAAGAAAGACCCCTTATCGGGATCGAACGATACACATAAGGAAGGAAATCCCAAAAATGATTTAAGATAAGCAGCGAAGCACGTTGGGGGGGGGGGGGGGGGGTGGGAAGAGCACAAATTACCTGCCTTATCTAATTCGCATTGACCCAGAAGCCGCCCAAGAACACAAGAAACGAAAGACCCACCGCCAACCAGATCGCGTCTCCCCCCCGAAACCCAACAAGAAACCGGGCAAACGGAGAAGCGCCCAAGATGATCGTCGTCGTCGCCGGGGGCGGATGGAAGGGAGGGAGCAGGTGCGAAAGGCGAAGGAGAAGCACCCACCCCTCTGCCTTTTATACTCGAGTCGTTGTCTCAGTGATGACCCCGTGCGAGGGATAGAGAGAGAATGGAAGTGGGTTTTAGAGAGAGAGAGAGAGAGAGTCGTAGGGGGGAGCTCGTCCGTCTTCGGATCGTCCGTTTACGTTGTACGCTTGGCCGTTTGGACCGTCTTCTCGCGCTTCATGGGACGCCTCCCGGTGTTGTTGCGTGCGCGACGCGGGGGTAGAGAGAGAGAGAGAGAGAGAGAGAGAGAGGGGATGAAAAGTCTCATTCGAAAAACCCATTTTCCCCGTCGAGTGCCCAACCCATGATTTTGGCCAATGCAATACGCATAGATCTATCCTCACGATGTGGCCATTCTTGCTGATTTTTCCAGTTTTGGACTGATTCATTGGAGGAGTACATCGAGAAGCGATTCGCGGTCCGAATATAATTATTGTCTTTTCGCGATACATTTTTGCATGGATTGAAACATTCGTCGCGCTTTTTTACACGAGATGAACTACACATGAAATTAACACCCGACACTTCTTTATAGCGGGCATGTACTGCGACAGTAGGAGTTTCAGCTTCGACCGATAGTGTTTTCATTCAAATCCGCATAATGCAGAGAAGCTTACATGTTACCATGCGTGTTTAACCAAAGAGTTGTCTGGCTCTGTGACCAAAAGAAGAATCGAAGAGTTGTCTTACATTATTGTTGAATTGCCTTGGTTGTGTCCACAAAGGCAATTCGCTAGTAATGGCTTCTTGAATTTTCTTTTAAAAATCTCGGGATTACTCGACTCATTTAATTTGACTTTTCTGTTTGAGCTCAATTAAAATCCTTACTATTGATGTACTTTTTTATGGTTTTATTTAATCCAATATGACCGCACCTTTAACAAGGGATAAACGGTAAAATGCAGATCAATCTATAATTTGTTCACAATTTATCGGAATGTAGATGACATTTTAAATACGCGCAAACGAACACGTGCCCTAAATAGCTATGTTAGAGTTCTTTAATTGCGTGAAAAAAGACGGCTACTTGTGTGTCGTCGACGAATAAAATTAATATCGAATTTAAGAACTTCTTGTCAAAATTTATTGTTTTTCAATTGAATTTTGGCAATTCATATGAACCGAGGGAAGGGGGTGGGGGGATGGATACGAGAGAATGGAGAGTTCTGGAATATTAGGCGGACATGCCGCTGACGTGGCACGGGGGGTGAAGCGTGGGGGAGAATGCCGTGCGGCGGCGTCCATGACTGGCGTGGTGGATAGACGGCCTCATCCGCCGCCACGTGTCACTTGCTACAGCCCTGAATCCTGATCAGATTTTTTGGAAATGCTCATCCCCCCACATGATGATAAGGTCAAAGATAACATAGGAACAAATTCTCTCATTCTCATCCATTACCCGGTGGCGGCTTTGACGAATCCCCGGTTCCCATTGGGCCTGGGCCTTCTCTTGTGGGCCGGCAGCGCCGCCCGATCCGTGAATCGGCCCATTGGGCTGGATCGGGCCGAGACCGAAACGCGCCCGACCCGTCGACCGCCCGTCCCCCGGCTCGGATCCCCGAAGTAAAAGCCGAAAAACCGCAAGAAAACCAGCGCGAGCGTCCACAGACTCCCAACGCCGGCCAGCAGAAGCGAAACCCTAGCGCTCGCCTGCTCTTCCCTCCGTTGACCTCGCTCGGAGCTCCGGCCCGCCTCTCCTCTCGCGCTCGCTCTCCGGAGGGAGCATCCCCAGCGCCGTCGAACTCGGGTACGGCATTTGTCTTTTCGCGTGCGCAGACGGTAGAGTTGTTTCCTCGAGATTTGGTGACGGAAGGATCGAGTGCGTCTTTTAAGCATCTGGAATTTACGCTGCGTGTCTTTAGCTTTTGGTGTGTCGTGTGATTTGGTTTTGCTGACGAGGAACGATCGGACGGGGCGGGGGGGGTGGTTTGCGTTGCCGAGTTCACCGTTTTAGGGGGCTTTGGTACGGTGTCCCTAGGTTCGGTCGCGACTGTGTGGGAATGCGGTGTAATATATCCATTTCGGCTCGGGAATTGGGTTTGGAAATGCGATGCCGCAGTGGGGATTTCTGATAGAGGGGCGGTTCTGATGGTCATCACTTGTTCTTTAGCACGATCGAGCGAACTGTGTGCGGAGGACATGGGGCGTTTTTTTTATATTTGAGTGTGGCGAGTGTCGTGTCATCTTTTCGAACAAATATGGATGTGTTGGTGTGATTGGCGGGGGGTGCCTGTGCAAGTTTAAAATGTGAGAGGTGCGACACATATCTGTCAAACTGCGAGTGTGTGGGGCGAGATTTAGCTTGCAAGGGAATGTTGGGGCCATAACTTTACCTATCTTCTAATGAGAGTATGATCATTTGCTGTCGATTTTCACTTTCGTCTACGTGACTCTATTTTGTTGAGAATGAAGGATGGTAAGGACTGCTGAGTTCCCAGTATTATTTACTGATAATATGGTTATCTTTTTATTGTGCAAATTAATTGGAGAGAGAGTTATGTGACAGGGTGCAAGTTCTTTTAGAGGTAACTGCAATTTGGGAAATATTTTACTGGCCGCTGTTGAATAAAGTGCATTATCCCTGAAAATTGATGTGATGGAAGTATTTTTTTGTGCTTGGGAGGGCTTGTGTATGATTTTTCCAAACTTATACATTCAGTCTTATTTACATATTGGAGACAACTGGGGTTTGATTGAGCACTCACTTTCATTCTGCCCTTTGAACTATGTCATGCTACACTCAGTTTGACGTTACCAACCAATAGGAATATATGTCCATCAGGACAATCACTACAAGGCGGGTTTTGCTGATCCATTGCCTTCTGGCGAGTAAGGCATAATCAACTAGTGACTCGCTAACAAGACATGTCTGGCTCATTACATACTTTTTTTCTACGGTGGCCTTTTGGTGTTTAATCAAATCTACGTTTTCATTAGACAGAATACATGTTTAGCAGGCTTGTTAAACTCCGACGATCTTAAAGAGAGATGAGTAAGGTGAATGAATTGATGTTTCTCAATCTTACCTGATCTCATGACACGGATCCTTTGTTTATGATAGATGACGAGTGCTTGGACAAATATGAGCTTTGCAGTCATTCGTAGGGATTTAGAGAGGGAGTGGGAGAATCAGGGAGGAGTAATGGGTATTTTTTTAAATAACTGGAGACCTTGGTCACTCCCAGAAGATCTATACATCTGCGAATTTTCTGGAGGGGATCTGGAGATCAAATTTGTTTTCGAATTTAATATAGCTTTGGAGCATCTTGGAGCAAATGAGCAGTGGAGCTTGTGGAGCATGGCTCACCGCGGGATTGCTCTCTTGGTTTGCTTCATAGTTTTGGTCTTTCTTTATTTTCGTTACTCTTGACAGCGGTGGTTGACTGATCATGGCAGCTGGGTTATATGTCGGCGAATTGAGTAAGAACAATTTAGTTTTCAAGCTTCACTAACCTGTTCCTTGCCCTGTTGCAGTGAATAACTTTTGAGATAGAAATGAGTAGCCGCTTTTCTCGCACAATCTACGTTGGCAACCTGCCATCTGATATAAGGGAATGGGAAGTCGAAGATCTGTTTTACAAGGTCTAGTTCAAAGTTTCTTCCTCCTATAGATGTTATCCTGCCATATTTGCCTTGTCAAATTAGCTATCAGATATTCTGGAATAGGTGGCTGTGACAGGTGTCTGAACTGTAAGGTGTTGTTTTACCCATCCAGCTTCATTATATCAATATGATTGAATTTCTTGCATATAAATTGCTTCTTGTTACCTAGGGCTGTGAACGGTGGATCAATCTGAGTTTATCTTCTCAATTTCCACCAGTTCTATGTGATGCTTATAAAATTTGGATAGTCAGCTGTGAAGCACTTGAGTGTCTTGATTCCCTAATACATTGTCTACTTAAGGTTGCTGTGGATTTTATGTTGCCATATGTCTATATAGGTTGCATTCTGTGGTTGCTATAATATAGCTGTTGGGTTGAGGTTCCTATGAGTGGGCTCTTTTCTTAAATGACTCATTCTCAGATTTTACTGAGCTATGACTGGATTAGCCAGCTTATTTGAGTTCTTTTGCCATCTGCAGTATGGAAGGATATTGGATATTGAGCTGAAGATTCCGCCTCGTCCTCCGTGTTATTGTTTTGTGGAGGTACCTCCCAATAGCCTTCATTCTACTAAACTATATTATGGTATTGGTAATGCTTACAGTCATAGTGATCTACTTGGCGAATGTGTATCATTTATGAACAGTTTGAGACCTCTCGAGATGCCGAAGATGCAATTAGGGGTCGTGATGGATACAATTTTGATGGCTGTCGTCTACGGGTGAGTTGAATGTTTTCCCCTTTGTTGTGTTCTACAGCTCTTCCTTTTTTTCCTTTGGCTTTTGACCAGTCCTTGATGCAGGTTGAACTTGCTCATGGTGGTAGAGGACAACCATCTTCAAGTGATCGTCGTGGTAGCTATGGTGGTGGTGGTGGTGGTGGTGGTGGTGGTGGTGGTGGTGGTGGTGGAGGTGGAGGTGGAGGTGGAGGTGGAGGTGGTGGAGGTGGAGGTGGAGGTGGAGGTGGTGGGGGGCGCTTTGGTATCTCACGCCATTCGGAATACCGAGGTACTCAATTTATGACTCTTCCAAATACAATTATAGATGTAATAGGAGAACTGTGGTTTGAGTTTATGTGAATGAACTTAACTTTTTGTTAAATTTAAACGCAGTCATTGTTCGAGGGCTTCCTTCTTCTGCATCCTGGCAAGATTTGAAGGTGAGAAGCTTTTTCATATGCGTAAAAAGCTTTGAATCTAGCATTGTTTTCTTTCCGCTTGAATGTTTACATCAATTGCAGGATCATATGCGGAAAGCTGGTGACGTTTGCTTTGCGGACGTTGCGCGTGATAGTGAAGGTTTGCTATCAAATTTTAATATGCATTGCACTAGCACGATTTTCTTCTATCATTTCCCTTTATTTTGATTGAAATGGAAATAATTATCGTGTGCTACTTTTAGTTGACAAAGGCTGTCTTGTTGATGAATGATCAGCAAGGGTTTTTAGCAGTTTGTTAGAGTTTCTATCTTTCTCAAGTGAAGCTGCGGATATTTTATTTGAGTCATTGAGCACAAGCATCGACCACTTCATCGCCCCAATGTCGAGGGAATGAAAATTAAAATAACATCTGCATCTGTCAATATGAAATTTTTAGCTGATTTGAATTCTTTAGGATTGCCTTGCCTTCAAAAATTTAAAGTGGCATCTTCATGTCATACAGCGGATGGGTTCCCTATAATGTACAGACATCATCGCCAATGTTAGACAAATGGATTTACTTTGCCAATTGTTTTCTTGTTTTGGTCATACTCTGAGAATCAATCTTAAAGTGCCCAGAAATTATGTGAATTTTTGATTGCTTGTGCTAAATAAATTTCTTGAAAATACATGCGGAGACTGTGTGAAACTTCCAAGTATGCTTATTGAAGCAGTACTCTTCCTTCTTGGCATAGATCTAAACATGGCTGAGGCTGACTTGAAGCAAGGGCTGCAGATGCTCATGTTTTAATGAGCTGAGCTGGTCATCTTGTGAAAACTTTCTTTTTTATGTTGGTAATAGAGTGTGGCCTTATACAAAATATTGATTTCAGTGTTTGAATAATTCCTTCTGCTTCCCTCCACTTTAATCTTTTACATTTGAGGGTCTGAGATGCATATAGGCTCATGAATGTATATTTGTGGGTTTTATGATACTTATACATAATGAGAGAACACTGTACTTTGGTAGATATATCATGGAAAATGAAGTTTTTGATTTACTTTGTACGCTTCTGCCCAACTTCTGATGTCATTTCTGTGTGGAGACCCATTTTCATTGGGAAAACCTTTGCTCTGATGAACCGCTAGATCTGGTCCAGGCTCTTGGTTATAAATAATCTGTCATACTGCTTAGAGCATGATAGAGATGATTAGAGTCTGCACCATGCACTAAATTTGTGATTATGGAAATGCTTATCTTAAGTTATTTTTCATTTAGAAGTGCTAATATATGAGATGTGCAATCAGGGACTTATGGCATTGTTGATTACACCAACTATGACGATATGAAGTATGCTGTAAGTTTATGAAAAGGAGCGCTTAACTTGCTGGAATTATCTTCTACGGCTCCTATTTTTTTCACTCTTTTTCCTTATTTTGTGTAAAATCCTTCTACTTGTTCAGATTCGGAAACTTGATGACACTGAATTCAGAAATCCCTGGGCGAGATCTTATATACGGGTGAGTTATTTAATGATTTGGTTTATATATTTGATATTTTAGACTAATTAATCTTGGTAGGAGAACTGAGTTTTTAAAGTAGAGGTTGAACATTTAAGAAGATGGAGTTTAAGTCGCTTTGTTTGTCTTCTTCTGATTTGCGTCTTTTGGTCACTTGGCTAGGTGAAAAAACATGAAAACAGTCCTTCTAGATCTCGCAGCAGAAGCCGCAGTAGAAGCAGAAGCGACAGAAGGGAACGAAGGTTCTCCCCCCCCCCCACCCCCCCCTCTTCTCCTCTCTCTCTCTCTCATGGGTGAGCTAATATGCCTTTTTTCTTTCTCTAGTAAATCACCGGGTCGATCTGCATCAAAATCGCCATCTAGATCTAGATCAGCATCTCCAGTCAAGTCTTCCAGGTATGTAGCTTTGTGTTTTTATCTTGATTTGCTTCTTTGTGCTGTCTTCCGTGTCTTATAGTATCGGTCATTTTTCCTTTGCCAAAACACATAGACCAAGGTCCAGATCAAGGTCAGCATCTCCCCGCCAGGTGAGTTGTTTTCCCCCCGTGTACTACTATGCATGTTATGCTCGGCAAATTCACTTAGAGCTGATCAATTGAGTCTTAGGGTTCTGTTTCGGAAGTTCAAAACTAGAATAGCAATGATATACGAGATGACAGGTCCTCCTGTGTTACCTTGAGAGGAAGGAAATGAGGGATGTCCTCATCCAGGAGTAATTGGTAATTTCATGCAAATGTCTTACAACTTCTGTAGACGAATTGCTCACCTTTTACGTATCTGGGGGGTCCTATTTGAGTATAGATACTGATAGGAAGGTTCTCTTATTAAAGTGTATACTCAACACTCCTGTCCCTATGATTGTGCGTTTGAAATTGTTGAGTCTATTAAGCCATCAATATGCACATGGGATGGATATAAAATCCAAGTTCCTATGGAGGACAAACTTTTATCTTTAAATCAATGAAATACTGATATTAACATTTTTATGTTAAACAGTAATAGTTGGTTTTTTCTTGGTTGGTGATTCGTGTGCATCTCTGAAGATATCTTCTTTTCTTTTCAGGTGAGATCAGGTAGTGGCTGATTCCTTGTAGCAGAAATCCCGGTGCTCATTGCTGTAATGAAGAAAGTGAGTGAGTTAGGGAACTTTGGGAACCATCTTTGTTGGGATTATGATGCGTTAGTCCAAGAACTTTAGGTACTCGAGAATGCCTGATACTGTTTTGTGACGGTACTTTAGTGTTGGATTTTTCAATGCGTCGTCTGAATATCATGTAGCTTGCTATCGAGATCTTTGAAGATGCTATGGTAGTGGTACTGTTGGAGATGATGACGGCTCGGCTCAGATCAAGTCCAAGGGAAAGCACATCCTGGTTTTGAATTAATGCCGATGTCAAACCTCAAAGCCAGTGTTCTTAGAACTATGCTTGTCCTTATCATCATGGTCCATTCCATGTTAGCTATGCGGGGGAATCGGAACTTGGTCTTCTAGTGATGTTTGATGGATTCACAAGGATATCTTTAAGGCACTTTTCAACTTGATTGGTCCCTACCATCATAATGCAAGAGCTTTCACTCTGGGTACCATCTACCTTGAAGCAGCTTTTGCACCCGGAGCACATCGTATTTTAGCGGGAGGTTCCATAAACAGACTGCTTTCTTTTTGGGGGGGTCAGAAAACAGACTGCTGGATAGAGCCACGATTCTTCCAATTAGATACCTTCAATAATGTTTACCAAATCTGATGAAGTATATACAGAACTACGTATTCGAAACAGAGAAATGAGCATCGTATCATCGATTATGGCCAAGATAAACGAGCAGCAAAACTGGTTCTCTTGCGTTTTAACATTTCCTAACCTAAAAACTGGTTGGAGCAGTCTCATTAGAGGTGGAACGATCAGATTGCAGCTGGCATGCGTTTATTGAAATCTATCCGGCTCATAGTGAGATTTAAACTTGAGGTTGCCGATGCGTAAGATTGATTCCTTGATCGTGCCGTTGGTGTACTAGGATGACAGCCAGGAAATTCGTCACTCCGGCTTGCCATGGAAGGATGATGTCCCAAGAACTGACAACCTTTGTTCATCCCCGTAATTTCGTGCCATTTAGGGTGTGAGCACTTGATTTTCTAGTCTGTACACCCTAAACCCACAAGTCTTCAGCTGTTCCTCGTTGTTCCGAACGTGCAAAAATCTATAAACCAACAGCAAATTGCCCCAGGAATGTTCACTATAGCAACAATATTGGCCATGCCCCCCCTATAGGAATCCACAATATGAAAGAGGCCTTTGCAGAATATTACGTCGTTGAATACTCTTATCCTAGGATGATCCCGGAGGCACCTCCAATTACCATCTCCAGGATCAGAAGTGCTATCCTGTAGATCCCGCCGTACACCACCACGACCTCGTATTCATTTGGAGACATTACCACGACCTCGTGCCCATTTCGGAGAGGAAGTAAGTCTCACAAGACAAAGCAGCTTCTTGATGTGGTAATAATGATAAGGATCTTCATCCTCCGCGCCATTGTCGTCTACTACTTCCTCTAACATCAGGGGAGAGAGAGAGACTCTTGTGCCGGTGAAAGGGTTGAAATGGTCACCTCGAAGGCTCCACCCACGAGAAACAACCATCCACTTGATGACCCGGAACATCTCCTATTGTAAGGCGCTTCGACTTGAAACCTTAAGCTTTGATGCCTCTACTGTCATATAAGCCGCCTGCACATTATCCCTAGCCGGGATCAAAAGTAGGAGAAGCTGCGGTCACGACATGGGGAGGGTACTCCGCTGCTCGCCGCCATTGTGCGCGACCGACGACCATCTATTGCAACCGAGACCGAATCGGAGGTAGTAGGAGAGAGAGAGACCAACTCATTGAGAATTGAGGAAAGAATGTGTCCAGGGGGCCATGCCCATTCCCAACAATTTCATGCTTAGTTGTTGAGATCAGCACGGTCCTATGTTCCTAAGACGTGTGAACGTGTTTGGTTTTGGCTGCCTCTAATTCTCATGATCTTTTATACAAACCAGAGAATTAGGTAATCTTTATTGTTCGGAATTTACGGTGATGGTTAATTGAAGTTCGGTATCCATGTCACTTTTACAAAAAATGAAACGAAAATGATTTTTATCAAGTTAACCGATGATGTACAAGTCATTTTTCATATATCTTTGGACGGAGGATACGCAGTTACATGACCATCTTTAAGGACACGTCTCATCTACCATCATTATTTATATTGGCAGTGGATTTAATAATAATGAAAAAAAAAATTTAGTTAAAATTTGAATTTTTCCGTACTCTCAAGCTAATCGGTTTCGACCAAAAAAAAAAAAGAAGCTAATCGGTCTTGATTTAAACTATCGTCTTTCTAAAGAATCGAAATCAGTTACAAAAATCCTGGCAATAATCCGACTTGGTTACATCTTTCTCCGATCAAAATCGCTGAAACGTCTTTTTTTTCACAACTGGCCCCAAAATCCATGGGCCAGCCCAACAACCGTCGGCGTTCATTTCGGCCCAGCACGCAAGTCACGTGCCGCGTCCACGTGACAATGCAAACCCTAGCCGTCCCGATGCAACATAAGTACGTCCCATCTTCGTCTCCAGAGCTCCGTGACGGCACTCTCGCTTCCACCAGCTCTCTCTCTCTCTCTCCATCTCAAGCACGTTTCGAAGTCGAAGGTCTTCTCCACCGCCGCGAAGATGTCCGCCGGCGAGCTCGCTTGCACCTACGCCACCTTGATCCTCCACGACGATGGAATCTCCATCACCGTAACTCTCTCTCTCTCTCTCTCTCTTCCTCTCTCTTTCTATATAATCGGAGGCAAATGATCGTGTCTTCCTTCTCTTGGTTGTCGTCGCTGAAACGTCGAATGAAACGGAACAGGCGGAGAAGATCGCCTCGCTGGTGAAAGCGGCCAACGTCTCCGTGGAGTCGTACTGGCCGAGCCTCTTCGCGAAGCTGGCGGAGAAGAGGAGCGTCGGGGATCTCATCACGAACGTCGGTTCCGGCGGCGGCGGCGGCGCCGCCCCCGTCGCCGTGGCCGCACCCGCTGGCGGCGCCGCCGGAGCGGCTGCCGCGGCTCCCGCTGTCGAGGAGAAGAAGGTAGAGTTTCCTCCTCTTTCGTTACTTTGTCTATAGACAGCCATGAGTCTTGATTGCGGTTGAATTGTAGAGGTCTTTCTGCATCTGATTGATTCTGTGTTGGAAAATGGAAATTAGTTTAGTCAAATTTTTGAGGCTTTGTTTTCTTCCTCTTGATCTGAATCTAGAACATCACCAAAGGCTTCTGTTTTTGCAATGTTAGTGCAAAACGCGATCATTACGGAACATTGCAAGAACTAGGAAATTTCGTTATGACGGCGATGTTCGACTGAGTTGGTGTTTAGCTACTTAGCAATTGGATTCTTAAGCCCTCAGTATTGTTGTCGGAGGATTGTAAAACTCGACAGAAAGACATCTCAAAAGCCTTATGCAGTGATCTTGATATGAGGAAGCGACGATCATATCTGTAGATGGTATCTGTAGATTGTATGGAAGTTTGCATTCCGCACTTTCAGTTTCCGTCATCTATGGGGAACCTCGGAATACAAAGTAGTGCTTTTCTCTGTGAACTGTGCAATGATATGTTTAAAGTTTCTCTTTCGTCATTGTATAGAGTTTAGAGGATTGAATTGGAAATGAAGAAAGCTAAATATGCAATCGCGACATCAATTCTTCTGAAAAAAATCTGCATGAGAAATCTGCAGGGATGTTGTTTGAGTTCTTGTGCTATATGAACACCATAGCTAGAATTAGTCGGAAATTCTAAGATTTGTAATTTTGCCTGGTCTAATTGATGTCTCCATGACTTGATCATTTGTCTGAGTTGCTCCTTTTCGTTCTTGAATTGACCGCAGGAAGAACCAAAGGAGGAGAGTGACGACGACATGGGCTTCAGCTTGTTTGATTAAGGAAAACAAGTACTCTCATTCTGATTCGTCTGGATTTTTTGTTTGGTTCCTTCAGATTAGGATCTCTCGGAATGTTTCATCCTCAATTTTTGTTTGGTATAATGTCGACATTTAGCTTCAACCGGTTTTTTTGTACGATTCAGTTGGCTTGAAAACAGAATCATGTCTATTGCTGATCATTTGATATCGAACCTTATCACGCTTGAAACGTTCGGAGTTTCTTTCTCATGAAAATTCTTGATACACACGGAATATTAGTAGCTATAGAGAGGTGCACATTTACTTGCTCAAAATGAAAAATCGCTTGTTGCGGTGAATGACCATCGTGGCTAGCAAGTAAATGCGGCATTCGAGAATTGCTCTTGTAGATCATAAACAGTCGAAGGTCATTTTTCCGCTGTGGCAAATGGGGTACATTGCTATCATTTGTGTCACAAGTACAATTCTCTCCACAGTCGCATACCTTCAATGCGACATATAACTACTTCAGAGAAACGTTCTATGTAACACATGACAGATTGAACATAGATTTGTCTAGGCCCTTCCATTCTCATTGCCCTCTGAACATAGCTAATTTCGACATTCGATAGGGCAACATCCATCACCTTCTTTGAGTGCTGGTCGGCAACAGCAAGCTTGACATTGTGACGTTATGCAGTAACAGTCAATGATAAGCTTTTATATTTGCACCAAAAGAATAAGGGACAAAAGAGGGCTTTTATGTAAGATCGCCATTAGGGTTTTTTTTTTTCTTTTTGATGAGGGAAACTGTTTTGTTTCTTGTAGTCAGCCGTTAGGGTAGTTGGTTAGTTCATTGGAACATACTGAATAGCAGGTATTGGAAGCTGACCAAGCTTAAGGAGTGGCCACATTCTCTTTCGCCAGAGGAGCAATCTCCTCCCCGTCGACTCCAGGTTCGCTGCTCGCGACCTCGAGACTCAACAGCAGTTTCTCCCAGTTCTTTGCCGGTCCCTGTCACAGCAAAGAGGCAGCTCTCAGAGAAGAAGCTTGAGAAAATGATAGCATATGCATTGATTCTAGACGAAGACAGCTTAATAGATGGGAACGGTAGTTCTTGAATGTGCTGATTTCCCTATGCAGTTCTTTCTGTTTTTGCTTAATAGTCAAACGTGATTCTATAACAATGATCAACGTCACACGATGCCGGCCGCGAAGTAAATATGACAGCGTAACAATCTTTCTGACCTTCCAGGAGAGATCTTGAGCCATGCAGTTTCCAATCATCTCCTTCAAAGCAGGGGTGCCGTAAGTTGCTAGTGCCCTTTTGACGGTCTTTGCTATCGCTGCTACATCAGCAGGATCAACAGTTTCGCACTGAAAGGTAGAAAACATGCAGCTTGTTACGCGGCACGATCAACAGTTTCGCACTGAAAGGTAGAAAACATGCAGCTTGTTACGCGGCACGAGTTCATCAACTCTCTCTTGTGGGATGATAAATTGAAAGGGACGTAAAATCACCTCAACATTGAAGGCGCCCATTTGGAATCCGGTATAACCTTCTACTACCGTGTTGACAAGGCCACCGGTGGATGCCACGATTGGTACCTACATCCATGGTTGAGTCTCAGACTCGTGTCTAATGAGAGGGATATGCTTAGTGACAACCGCGAGAAATTCTCAGGTTCTGAAAAGATGGAGGGAATCGCATGTTCGTGGGTGACATAAGCTTCATGGCCAAATGCAGATTGAGCTATCGTCTAGAAGTTCAGAAAAAGTGAGCGTGCATACCGTTCCATATCTCATGGCGTGCAGCTGAATGAGACCGCATGGCTCAAATCTACTTGGTACCAACATAAAGTCGGCACCAGCTGTGATCATATGAGCAAGGGGAACACTGAATTTCGCGACTCCCCTGGCGTTGTTAGGGTACTTGATCTCGAGCTCTGCAAGTTGTTTCTCCATGTGTTTCTTCCCAGTGCCCTGAACATCAGTAATTTAAATTGTTAATAAGTAGGCAAGCAGTGCGCAGAGCGACCTAGTTCTGAAATTGCAGTAGCGGAAGCAACACTTGAAAACCATTCATCTCTATCTTTTTCCATCCTTACTAGGACAATTATCTGGACATCTTCGCCGATGAACTGAGGAATTGCTTGCGCGAGAATATCGGAACCTTTCTGCTCTTCAAGCCGGCCAATGAAGCCTATTACAGGGATATTTCTATCAATTGGCAATCCAACATGAGCTTGCAGTGCTTCCTTCAGTAGGGGCTTCGCTTGCATCACCTGAGAATTATTGAAGATGTTGAGTAATGCGGATTCGTATTCACCGGCATGCCAATTCAAGTATTTCGGACATGGAGTGGAGAAAGTACTGGCGCTGAGGATCTTACATTTGTAGCGTCGTATTTGACGTCAATGTACTTGTCCGACAATGGATTCCACTCTTGGACATCCATGCCATTGACAATACCAGTGACGCCGGTCATTCTGCAGATATTATCCAATTCTACACCTTTTTCTATGCCAGAGACGAGTTCCTCTGCATAGTATGGACTCACTGTTACAACCCTGTCCGATTCTAGTATTCCAGCCTTCATCCAATTAATCTTCCTGCCCTTCACGGGCTTGTCGTAGCTTCGGAAACCAAAAGGCTATCAGATCAGACGCAGGTTCGATATATACTTGATGGAAGGTTGAAGAAAAAGCGAAAGTAGTCATACCCGTCAATGAAATCGAAGGATGCCCTGAACCGGTCCGGAAGGTTCAACAATGAGAAGTCTGCATATGCGAATCTGCCCTGGTATGCGATGTTGTGGATACAGAAAGCAACCTAAAACCATTGTCACGAAGAGACTTAGCTCGCCAAGCTCTCGAGACTAGAATGAGAACTGGCAACTACACTAAACAGCAAATATATACCTTTGCATTTTTGTAGATTCCTCTAGGCTTGTACATTGATTTTAAGTAGCAGGGGACAAGAGCAGTGTGCCAATCATTAGCGATAAAAACAACATCCTCCCCTGCACAGTTTTGTGAATTTGTCATGCATTTAATCATGAAGAATCAAATGAAATAATTTAAAGTTTTCACTCATCCTTTTCTTTTTACTTAGCAAAAAAGAAAAATAAAGAAAAGAAAAGGAATGGTGCCGCACCATATGGTCCTGAGAAGTACTTGCTGAGGTTCAAGTTTAAAACTCGAGGTGCTTCCAGAGCTGCCTGATGATCATGGGCAGTCCATGTTAGTGTCAAAGCATTATAATGGTAACTATGACAGTGGTAGTGGTCTTAGCACAGGTAAAGTGCACGATTGACTCTCCTTCTGTTTGATTGAATATGAATGTTTTTCCAAATGAAATGGTAAAGATGACAAACATCCATGAACAGCTAAAAGAACTGACCTGGCATAGCAAGCTGAATCTAAGTTGGTTATCGACATAGTCCTTTCCAGCCTGGGGACCATAAATCTTGGATCCAGTTTTCCCCCATACCTTATGAGTCAAACCATGAAGATGGGTTCAGCTAAAGAGATTATTACCGATTCAATTTCAATAGTCAATACCACAATAGACAGTCTATGAAACTTACTTTTTCGAGGAACATGGGGTGATCTACAAAGACACGATCAACTCCTCTTTTATAGCAGTGGTAGAAGCGAACGGTTTCCATTCTATCACCGACTTTAATCTGCAGAATGAAAAGCAACCTCCGAAACATATTCCATGGAATGTGAGCACAATACAAGTATGAGCCATCCGAAAACTTTACCTTGGCCGGCACCTCTGTATCCCAAGCATCTTTATACTGATCGTAGCGAGGGCATACAGTCATGACTCGATGACCAATTGCCTGGAGAAGAAGCATAGAACATCGGCTTATAACCGTAATCATTTGAACTTCTGAACAGGAGCCAAAAGAGAGAGAGTTTGTCAATAGACAGAAACAGAATTATGCTGTAAGACATGCTCACGGCCATAGCTGGCGGAAGTCCTCCAAGAACATCACCAAGTCCACCAGTTTTGCTCCACGGACCAACTTCTGCACCTACAAAAATTAAATTCATCCCAGTTCCACATTTAATAACTCCTGAGGGGCTCGCAACCTCAGTCTTTAATGCCTTTCTTCTTGATTGTCTGCTAGCTGCCCTTACGTTAGTCCTAATCTGCAGCTTATCCAATTTGTTCAAGGACCTCAAGCCACAGTGTGTCATTGGTTGGTTTTTCAGGTCATTGTGGGTCAATACTGTTTTGGAATCTGACCCAGTTGCTCCCGCAGAGCCAAGGTAAGAACTCCCAGAGACGAATCGAGCAGCACTCACAGACGCCATTAGGGGAGAGATGCTGCACACGATCGCCTGGAAGGGTACACATAATTTGATGATGTGAACGATTAATGCAAAACAGCCATAATCAAAACCATACACATATTTCATAGCCAAGCCAGTTGCCGAAATACTGATTCCCGGAGTACATTTTTACAGCTCTATCACGGCTATTTGACTTATTTCTGATCAAAGAAAGCGCCAGCATGTTTATCAATTCTCAGAATCAACAGCATTGCATTTGAAATGGTTTAAACGCCACAGTGGAGCCAAAGTCGCACCAATTGAGCACACTCGGTCCTACATAACGTGAAATCTGCTCATATTCTTACTAACCAGCTGCAACTTACTATCTACATGTACAATATATTGAAATCAACCATGAACTTGCACCATCACTCATGAACAAATATAATAATTTTAACACAGAACCATCATGCAAATGAATAATAGATGGACTGGGGCATCTCCGACACTGGTTTCTCCATCGAATCACGGGATACTATGCAGGTCAATAAATAGAAGCAGGGTGCGCTTGGTAGTTATTTCTGTTATGACCCGACTTATAAATCTTGTCAAAATAGACGCATCTACTGAATTTAAATACTTCTGTATAGCCTTCATCAGCTTGCCCCTACCAACCTCTTCTTAAATAGACGTTCTTTGTCGATTGTTTATGCTAACCGGGCGTCCACATGAACATGTCTATAAAATGTGAACCACAATCCTAAATGGCGAAACTCAGGCGGCATAGTTCGACCCATCTTCTTAACTTGGTTGACTAATCTGAATTGCAAAACAAACTCAACCGACTCCTACTTAAGGTAAAGGAAATCGAGTCTGGAGACGCCCTCGCGACAGGCGTCCATTGGTTATTCAGTCAACCGAAAGCGTATGCTTAGACATGGTCGAGTCGGCAAACTTTTCTACGGAAATTGCAACAAACAAGCAGAAAGAGGAGAAAATCGAAGACGCTTTTTTAAATTTGATCAAACTTAACATCATTTATGTATTTAGACAGCGACGTAACCAACCTAAAAGCCACCGAGCGCTGCATAAGTATTCGGTAATCATACATAATCACGGCGCACATGAATAGAAAACATCGCACATCGGTCAAGCATCCCCTCTCGGAATCTGTAACGACCCGGTCCGACAAGGGCGGGAAGTGATCGCCGGGGCCAAAAGGCCTGGACAAGGAGTGGCTTCCGGTAGGCTTTTAGGATGGCAAGGGGGCATGTTTCCTGTCCCACATCACCTAGGAAGGTGTCCAAAGTAGATAATAGCTTGCGAGTGGGACCCAGATCGTTACAGAATAAACAGATAAGAAGCTGAGTTCTACCTCACAAATTTTAGACAAAAAGAAGAAGAAGATAGATACCATAATCTACGCAAAACATTGCAGAGAATCGGAAGAAAGATATGCTCTGATGCACTACATGAAAAATGATAGTAAGCTGAATCCTCCATGACAGCAACGGTGAGAGAAACACGAATCAAACCGCACAGAGTAGCAACACAAGCCAGGAAACACTACACGAGAAAAGGTCCAAACCATATCACAAGGCTTCTTCTTCTTCACTCACCTGGAGAGCAGTGTGCTGTGGGTTCACTGCAGCACAACACCTCGCTCGCTTCAGACTTCAGAGAGCCGAAAGCTTCCACTTGCGAGCGAACTGAGAGTGCGTGTGAGCTCCAAGCATGGAAGAACGGCCGCTCATTTGTAGCGGAACCGGTCCCCGGGGCCCGCGAGTCCCACGTGGCGGAAGAATAGTGGCCGGGACGTCCCTCCCAAGTCCTTGACGATCTCTAGCTCCGATTTGAGGCCGTGAGGAGGCGCCATTGGAAGCGGGGCCCACGTTAGCCCAAGCGAATATGCGGCAATTCCTTATTATTATTATTATTATTATTATTATTATTATTTTCTTGTTGACCGAAAAAGGAAAAAATCCAGATATTTAATTTATTTTTCTTGTTCGATGTTGGACACACCAATGACTGTGGCCCAATCCGAGCCGTGCAACTGCAGCCAGTTTCAACATGCTTTCCATTGTTAACCGTCGACATTTGTTCCCCCTCGTGGGGTATGCTAAAATATCTCAATTCCAGTCAAATATTTTAGAAAAACCACAAGGCCGTTTTACATTTTTTGCGTTTCCCCGAGCAACTTCGATTGAAAAGACAACATAAACTTACCGGACAATGACACAAACAGTCCCTGAATCTTGGCTCAATATGCAATTTGATAATTGAACTTTTAATTTGTTCAATATAGTCCGTAAACTTTAGCGTAATATTCAATGTGGTCCCTGAATTTTAACCCAATGTTTAATGTGGTCTATGAACTTTTAGTATATGTTCAATTTAGTCCCTAAACTATATGAAAATGTACAATATAGTCCCTGAACTTGAATTAATGGAAGGACTACATTGAACATTTTTATAAAGCTCGGGGACTATATTGAACATGTACCAAAAGTTCAGGGATCACATTGAACAAATTGAAAGTTCATGGACCATATTGAAATTGGATTAAAGTTCAGGGACTATATTAAACAAATTAAAAGTTCAGGGATCAAATTGCACATTGAGTCAAAGTTCAGGGATTGTTTGTGTCATTTTCCCTAAAATTATTTATGTGGTTGCATTGTCTTTTGCTTGTGTAAAGCATCATATTTGTTGGTACCATTTATTTTCTTTCGAACAATTGTCCAAAAGGTCCAAAATCTGTTGTACGGAGACCAATTTAATTTTAAACTTTTCGATTTTGTCAATATAATGCAAATCTTTTGACGATTTGTCAATTTAGTTCTAAATCTCTTGACAACTTGCCAATATAGTAATTACAGCCAATTTTGATTAGAACTCTTTGACTTAGACAATTTTTGTAATTATTTAAAAAAATTATGAATTTCTTTTAATTGCAAATATCTTCCACGCCAATGTCAGTCATGTTGGCAGTTTAAGGACTATATTGGCAAATCGTCAAAAGATTTAAGACTAGATTGACGAAATTGAAAATTTTACAACTGAATTAACCAATGTGTAATAGGTTTAAGACCTTTTTTCTAATGATTTTCACCATTTTTCTTTTGTGTATAAGACACGCCAAGCTAGGGTAGGGCATCTTTTTGTTCTCATTCTTTTCAACTCTTCTTTATTCGAGCATGATGATATGATGACGAATGATAGGGAAAATTACCAAAAAAGTCCTAAATCTATTGTAATTATGTTAATTCAATCTTAAACCTTTTTTTTTGTCAATTCAGTCCTAAACCTTTTGCAATTGTTTCAATTCAGTCCATCTGGCCACTTTTGGTTGGCCGGTGCTGACGCGAACGTTGGCTGACGCTGGTGTGGCCATTTTTTATTATTTTTTTTGAATTATTTATTTATTTTTTGACTTTTTTTTTTTTGCCTATCTTCATCGGCGACCGGCCAGAGGCTGAGACCGGTGAGGTCGAGCCTCGCCATGGCCAAGCGAGCTCACCCGGTGACGGTGAAGCTGCCTAGATCTGGCGAGACCTTGCTGTTGCTAGGCGAGGTTGCCTAGATCTGGCGATACCTCGCCATCGCTGGGTGAGGTCTCGCCAAATCCACCCTTGCCGTCGCTGGGTGAGGTCGAGCCTCGCCATGGCCGGGCGAGCTCGACCTTGCCACTGACAGTGAGACCGCCCAAATCTGGCAAGACCTCGTCGTCGCTGGGCGAGGTCGAGCTCGCCCGGCCATGGCGAGGCTCAACCTCGCTCGGCGACGGTGAGGGCCAGCCTCCGGCGAGTTCCACCTCACCAGCCTCAACCTCTGGCCGATCGCCGGACCGGCGATCAGGGAAAAATATATGAAAAAAAAAAAAGAAAGAGAGAAAAAAAGTGAAAAAAATTCGGAAAAAATAAAAATATATTAAAAAATTACCACGTCAGCGTCGGCCGGACGTCCAACATCGGCCGGCGTCCACGTCAGTACTGATCGGCCAAAAGTGGCCGGATGGACTGAATTGGCACAATTGCAAAATGTTTAGGATTGAAATTGCAAAAAAAAAAAGATTTAGGACTGAATTGAGACAGTTACAAAAAGTTTAGGGCTTTTTTGGTAATTTTCCCCTTTGAAATGCTGCGCCGAATGCGGCCCAAATCATGTCCTGTTCTCGGCCTTTTCGCCAAAGATGAGAAACCGAGTGGAGCTGGTCAAAGGCGACGGACCGTTTGACTGCAGACTCTTGCTCGTCCTCCTCGCGTGCTTGCCTTGGGGAAGACGGAAGTTGACCCGTTGACCTGGCGGGTTTCGGAAGCCCCCCGGTCTGGATAAGCTCCAAACACCGCAGCATCGTGTCATCAAAACGCACATCACCGCTCGTAAAAATCAACGTGTCCATCCATGGAAGCTTCGACCGCTCTCCGGTCGGTCGACCCGGCACGCGCCCCACACGCCTCTTTCTCGTCCACGTCAAACCGAACGGGGGAGTCCCCCTCCTCGTCGCCGTCGACCACGACCCGTTCAACGCCCGACCGAACCTCGCTTCGACGCGTCCCACGTCGTCGCCGTCCCCAGGCCCGACCGCCAGTGAATGGTCAAAGATCGGCCCACGTGTCGAGCCGAGGCGTTGAACAGATCGTCGTCCCACGACTCCCACCGCCACCGCCACCCCCACCTACCTTCCTCGAGCTTTCCCATGGACAAGATTCAGCTCCCCGTCCACGCTCGTTCCAGGTCCTTCTTCTTCCACTTTTCCGTCTCGCCATCCTTAAATACCCCCCTCTCTCGAATTCTCCCTCAGCTCGAACCCCAAGAAAAGCTCCACCAAAACTACCCTCGAAAGTCCGTCCGTCCCTCCAAGCAAATCTCTCGCATCGAGTTTCTCCGACTTCTTCGTGATCCAGACAAAGATGATGTCCATCTTCAGCTCCTTCGACGCTCTCTGCGCCGAGTCGCGCGGCCAGAAGGTCGCCTTCTCTTTCTCTCCCGCCAAGGCTCAGCCGCCGCCCGCGGATTCGCCGGCACCCGCCGCGGCCGAGAAGGCGAAGAGCGTCGCGGGCGGCAAACCGCTGCCACCGGCGACGAAGCAGCCGCAGCCGCAGCCGCAGCAGAAGAAGCGGGCGCCGAGGTTCGCGCCGGAGCTGGACGGAGTCCACTGCTTCGAGACGATCCTTCCTTATTGATCGAACCCCCCCACGACATGGGTGGTAGCCTGAAATTCGTATTCTTTTTCCCGCCACGATTCTTTTTGTATATGAATGAATACACTTCTGGGTAAATCACGAAATATGAAGCTCGATCAAAGTTTTGACTCCCATCGCGTGTTCCATAGCGTGTACTACGTTTTTTTTTCTCTCTGGACTTACGACCGAGTTCCTGCTGAACTGCGATCTCATTAGCCACACGATTAGAAACAACACGGACGCGTTAATGAAGATTCATGAATCACGATATCGAATGATGATGACGATCCACTGCCTACGCTAGTTATCAAATTACAAGACTTTGAGCTTTCCGATAAGGGCTTGTCTCGCCAGAATTGGTCTCGGTTTTCGTTAACAGAAGTTTAGGTTTAGTGGCGATCTTGTGCGAGAGATCTCACTAGAAAATATAGTAACGATACAGGAATTAAAAGATAACAGATTTTGCTTCAAAGATGACAACTTTGTTTTTGTTTGCGGGATGTTACGATGCACCGATACTAGTTTTTAGCGTAACTGCTCGTAAGCAGTTCTTCAACTGTTTCAATCGTGCCTTCACCATCTCTAAAACTTTCGGCTCCATATATATATTCACGTTGTCACGACATCTTACTGTTACTGCTTCAAAGTCGCGTCTTGACAGGTTGTTATTACTTCAAATTCGCCTCCTGATCACGATCTATCGTGCTTCATCGCCTTATCTACAAGCAGTTTCTAATTCGAATACCATTATGCTTGAATCTCGCACCCACTTTGCTCACAAAACGGTTAATTCTCGGATGATTTCTCACCTAATTTTGGTCAGCTATATTATGACAATCATCAACCGGTCGCTATCGTATATCGTTAACTGATCATGGCCATTCATAAGTATGACCATTGACAAAAACTCTAGTGATCAGAATGGCCATCGAGCAGGACTCCTGTAGTCAGTATCCCGCCAATAGCCACCTTACCTAATCTCAAGTCATATACATTAATCCATGTCATGCCAACTATAATGACTCGATTAATTTTTTATGTAAACAGGGTGGGAGAACTTAATGAAATGAAAATCCTTTCTCTAATAATTCAATGTGAATGGCCTAACAGATGGTGACATTGACTTGCTGTGAATGGCCTAACAGATGGTTTTGCTGCAAGATGTTTCAAATTGATCCACGAAGCACCCCTCTCGTACTCAACTACTATACTCACTGAAGGCTAAGCCTTATATCGTGAGTTCCATCAGGGATGGATACTGATAATCTTCCACTTATCAGACAGTTACATGACAATCACTGTCATTACAAAAACTTAAAAGTCTAAATAACAATTGCATAGATCTTGGTAAGCTATCGTAGTTTTCATTTTCACCTAGTTAGAATGCCCGTCAATCATGCAAGTCGTCGATCGGACAAATTAACATCATATAATTCATAACAAAAAGAGAAACACAAGATGAGAAATGTTCTGTAATAGCAGAAACTCGCTGAAGACCCCAGGAAATGAAAGCAAATGGGCATATATACCTTGCATACAGGTCAGATGATGATTACAACACCGCAAAGTGGGCTCTGCTTCAAAAGGTTGGTTTTCCATAAGTAGCTCTATGACGCTTTTTTTGTTTTTTGTTTTTTGTTTTTTGGTCGACTATGATGCTTAATCAGTTGTAATTTAGTCTTTTCAGTATGAGGTCATTCTGGCAATGCTTGGCCTTTCAATGATCTCCTGCCAGGATGATTATGCCAATGATGCAAAAGGCCTTGAAAATCTTATGTTATCACATGGAAAGGATCATCCCCTTGCTTCACCTCGCCTCTCTCACTCAGCAAAGGACGGCTCTTTGGCTGGTTCCATGACCACAGGCTCCAATTTCTGTGCTTTACCATTTCCTTGCGGTACTATCAGACCATATCCCCCAGCTTTTCTCTTGTACAAAATGTTGATCTCACCTGCAGTGAAGGCATAGAATTAGTTGAGATCTGAGGAAAGATAGCTATGAGAAGAAAGCAACAAAGCAAAGCGACCATCATACCGGTTTCTTCATTCCGGAACCCATAGAAGTCGTGATCAACATTTTCCAGTTGCTCAATTGCTTCAGCTACCGTTAAAGGTGGCATTTCAAAGTACTTGGTCCTGACAATCTGAGAAATAAGTTGACTGTGAGTGTGACTTGCAGAAAGAGGGCATGAGCATGTCATAAGTAAATATAAACGAAGGGTTCTTGCAATTGCAGCGATTCAGTGAGATAGTAACCAGTCAGACTAACAATGGTGGGAAATATCAAGCAGAACTACTAGTCGTAGTATCAGCCCGACTCATGAAAACTGCCGCGACATACCGGGAGGCTAAATACAAGTTGTTCTTTTACATTGCAAGAGCCAATTAATGACCACCAGGACGTGTCAAAAGAGAACGAAGCTCAGCAGTGTCACCTAGACTTAAATACAACAATCTACAGTTTATAGCTCAACCACAACTTACAAGTAGGATAATCAACTGAGAAGTATCTGAATATAATTGCTATTATGGAAAACTAGGAACAGTAGAGTCAAAATACAGGTTCCCACAGTGCTTTTTTGGTGCTTCAATAAAAAGACATATAAGCAAGCAAAGTCTGCTATGAATGTGAGCACGCAAAGAACAAAAGAGCCAATGTATTGACAAGTGGTAATCATATTTATTGCCATGACATGAACAGAAAAACTTATCTCTAGGGGTTTGACTAAACAAGTTAGTTCATTTTGTGCAGATCATGTATACAGAGATACCTTGTGGGTGGACTAGAGAAACATTGAGCAATATATTGATGAAAATTGATGTTTTTATAGAAGGAAGAGCAGCCTTGTGATACTACAGATTTCAAAGTGAATGACACTTGACAGTCTGAGCAGACAGCTTCACAATTTCACCAATCCAGGCCATGAATTGAGCCTCACATCACTGATGCAATGCACCACATTCACCTAATACCCAAAGTTGAAAGCACAAATCTAATTTGGAAAATAAGTGACTACCTATTGTTTTATCTAATAAACTGCTTGTCTCATTGATTTGACTTCCCATGATAGTTATCTAATATTTACTCACACATGCGTGGGACAAAGTGCATAGAAGAATGCCAGCAACAAGCCTCATTACATTAGTTTTAACCCAATACTAGAAATAATTACCTCACTATCAAACAGGCACTGGCATATGATTCGTGGCTACCAAGTGCAGAAACAATAGAGAAGTGAATGGAGCACAAACTGATAGAACCAGACATTCAAGAACGGATGACAAGTGTAAACAAACAGTTATAACCTCATCAAAGTCCTCATCCTCTCGTTGAGGAACATCCTCTACATCATCTTCCACAACCGGCGGCACAGCCACCGGTTCTCTTACTTTCAGTCTATCAAATCCCTTCATGTGCCTACCATGATCAGACTCCTTCTCCTTGATCTTCCTTAACTTCCTTTGTATAATCGACGACACCAAATCAATACTTCCATAAATCGACTCCGCATCTTCCTCGGCTCGAACCACGCCATGCTTCTTGGTGAACAATGTAACCTGAAAACTAGCAGAGAATCAGAAAGCCAATCAACAATTTCAAAGAACAACAATTTCAAAGAAGTCGAACCCCAGATTCAGTCGTAGCTACCTCACATCTCCGAACTTTGGGGCCTTTTCCAAACTCTCCGCCTCGAATCGATAGCCTGACATCGACCTCGCGCACGAGATGGCTATGCTTCTGTACAGCCTTTCCAACTTTCTCCTCAACATAAGACTTCACTGCACTGTTCATCTGCACCCAGCAATAGGAAAGATCCACATTATTCTATCATCCACACCATTCCATGAATAAGGGAAAGATATAGGAAGAATCATGGCCTGTGTGTCTGCAAATATAAAGAAACTCCAAACTGTAACTCATGCGATTGCTCGAGGCAGATACGTTTCACCCCCCTCGCACCATCCCTTCTCAAATTCCTCACCCACCCACACTTCGATTGGACCACTCTCGTCCATTGCCAAATGCCCAAGACTAAAAGACCCGGGACTAAATACCCACAATAGAAATTTGAAAAAAAAAGAAAGAAAGAGAAGCAAAGAGAATCAATCACCTCCAGATTTTTGCCTTGAATGATCAATTTGACGGAAGAGAGGGGTCCGTCCCAGGACATGCACACGACCAGCGGCCCGCGGCATTCGCTCCTCGCCACTCTCGCGCTGTAACTACCGACAACGCTCCCGAAGCGGCTGGTGAAGAAGGACGATCGGCTCGACGACAGGCCCGGGGCACGGGTCCCCGCCGCCGACAAGATCGGCGAGCCGAGGTGGGAGACACGAGAAGACGCTGCCGACGCCGACGACGGGGACGCCGGCGACGGTGGGTGGCCGCGCAAGGCCGTGTGCAGGGACGACGCGAAGAGGGTGGCCATGTCGGGAGCTCCCGGGAGCGGATCACAGCAGATACTTGGTCAGGTCTGGCAGCGCAGGGATGCCTAAGGAAACGCTCGGAAAGCGAGAGAAAATCTTGGGTTCGAGCAGGAAGCGGAGGAGGAGGAGGAGGGGATTCTTGAATATTCAAGTTTTGAAAAAGTTGGAATTTTTCGGTTTTGGATAATTCCTGGGTGTCGGAATTCAGACGTGGCGGGTCATCCGGACAAGAGAGAGAAAAATATCCGATGGCGCGGGGACGAGGATCGGGTCGGGTCGGGTCGGGCGGCTCTGGCGCCAGCGGTGCACGACGACCGAAATGGTCCCGCCCGCGCTCGATCCCCGGCTGGGAGAGTGACTCGTGGGCCCCACCGCCGTTTCCCCCGTGTCCGGCGTGGGCCCAAGGCGACGGCCCCCGCCCACACCTGATCCGGATCGTGTCCCCCGTGTTCCAATCATCCTTTTCTTCCTCCCGATTTATTTATTTTCACCCAAAAAAGAGAGAGAGAGAGGAGAAAATGACATAAGTGATCCTTTATTCAACGTGATACTTGAACTTTAACCCGCTTTGTTATGTCATTCTCGAACTTTTAATTTGTTCGATATAGTCTAAAGTTGAATTAATAAAATGATAACATTTGATATTTTTATATAGTCTAAGGACTAATTGAAAATTTATCAAAAGTTCAAGGATCACATTGAATAAATTAAGAGTTCATGAACGATATTTCACATTAGGCTAAAGTTCAGGAATCACATTGAACAAGTTAAAGTTCAGAGAATATATTGCATATTGGTCAAAATTTAAGGATCATATGTGTAACTATCATAGAGAAAAAAATAGAGCTCGTCAGGTGGTGCTTTTGTATCAATAGTTCTATTATTAGTATTATTATATACACACACAATTTTGCAGATAATTCTCGCTCTATCTTACCTCATCTAAATGAGTCGATCCACAATTTTTTTTTTATCTCCCTCCCTCCCTCCTCATCTTTCCTCAATTTTTTCCTAGTTCTTCTTTTCGCGTGGCCATCCATGGCCGTGACCGCAATGGCTGCCTTGGCCTCGGAAGATGAGTTTTGCGACTTTTTGCTAATTACCCTCGAGGTTTGTTTTGGGTTGTCCTTTTTAAATTTGTGAAAGACGAGTTTGAGCTAATATCGTCTCCACTGTGAGAAGACGCCGTGTCTTCCAATACATCAGTTTTTTGATAAGTTAGCGTGGGCATATTTGGAAGTAACTCGTTTTGGCAAATCTTTGCTTGGAGTTCTCATAGGCCCGGATGAATGTGCAGTGAAGCCCACTTCTTGCTTCTCTGCGAGTGAATATTCTTCTGATATTGTCATTCTCAGAAGGGGTTTTAATCATATATGTGTGGACATTTATACTTTTTCACAATTTTTTGTATTGTTGTATGGCTTAGTTGTGTGCTTGGAGAATTGAATTCCATCAAACTTGCTTAATAGAGGCGTTCTTGCATGTGCAGTCTGCTTTTGCACGTAATTCCGTCACTTTCATAATTCATCCTGTTCGTTTGGTATTTCTCTTTTCTCATCATGACTTTATCCTTGTGTTTGTTGTTTCTGTTGAACTTGCTTTGCTTTCATTTATCATACCTATTTAGTAACTTCTGCCCCGGTGCTTTAATGGCTACCCCTTCTATTATGCTACTATTTGGATTAAGTATTTGCTTATGATACAAAATTTGTTAGCTTGACACAGCCACTTGAATTATAATAATTTCAGGTTTTAATTATCATAGATCGGTAAATGTCTACTTCAATGAGTGAATCTAGTGGCACAAATAGAAAGAGGACGAGATCTACTGCGTGGGAATACTATAAAAGGATAGAAAATCCAGACAAAGCTGAATGTTTATATTGCGGGGCTCTTATTAGTTGTTCTACCTCTCAAGGGACTAGTGCGATGCGTAATCATTTAGGTAGATGTAAGGAATATCCATATGCGAACGTTGAGAAAAGGCAAAAAAGTGTCCCAGGTCAACTTGTTGGGGTTGGTAGTTCTAGTTCATTTGGTCCATGGAAATTTGACCAAGAAACTAGTAAAAAAGACTTAGCAGCGATGTTCATCATTGGTGAATTACCCTTTAAGTTTGTGGAAAATGAGGCATTTTGGCAATTCATGAGGGAGGACTGTTATAAGTTATACTTGGACGAAAGATGCAAATTGAAAAATTATTTTTTCGATACATCTCCAAGGGTTTGTCTCACAATGGACACGTGGACTTCTTGTCAAAATATGAGTTTACATGTGTCTCACTGCTCATTTTGTAGATGGTGATTGGAAGTCGCAAAAAAAAATCTTGAATTTTTGTCAAATCCCGAGACATTCTATTGAGATTATACGAAAAGCATGGTGGAGGCTCTTATATGTGCTCAAGATTGGCTACGATTCACACCACTTTCACTTTCGATTGAGGAGGACTTAGAAGAACTCAAAAATTTTGAGTCAGGTGAGAAAAAATTATCGTGGAATATTTTATGTCCTTTAATATTGCAATAGATACTTTAATTCTCATTTTTATTGTGAATTTAATGTAGAGTTGTCAACTGTGACTGCGGACCTAAACTCGATATTGGTTTCCCTTGATGATTGACGAACAAAAAGAGAAGTAGTCATCTCCTTGATGTGTAAAGAAAGCGAGTACTAGAGATTGTGTATTCTTTTTTGTAGCTAGTCCATTATCTGATTATTTTTAAAAAGGGGAAGGCTCAATAGCATGTCACTATATTGACTTGATTTCATATCATAGCTGAGTGAATGGCCGTCAACCTTTGAAAGAAAATTAGAAGAGGAATAATCCTAGCGATACCTCATCAGATAACACATGCCAAGAGATTCTTCAGTGACATGCAATTTATCTTGTGATTTTAACGGGTGCAACTGTGGAACCATTTGGGTCATTTGTGTCTAATCTTTTCACTAGACAACTGGACCTGGATATCTCTGTTCAGTTACCCAATGGTTCATATATCTCGGCCGCTGGAAAGAAACTTAAACAGGCACTATTAGGAGACTTGTTGAAAGCCTTGAGACAGACAAGTGAGCGTAACAGAGATTTGAGCACTGTTTGGTTTTTACAAACTTGGAACTGTCTGTGCTTGTGAAAGTTGACGGATGGGACAAACGCAATAGGGACTTTTTGGTTCCTTTAGGTTAGCCGATTTTGATTGTGTTCTGCTGGGAAAAATCTAAATAGTATCTTGGTTAAACTTCTATTTGATTGACATTAGGCCTCAGTATTCATCTTATAAGTGTGAGTTCTTACGTTAATTACTATTGTATATCTTGTAGTATTCACCAAAAAATGAAGAAAGGCTCTCATCAACTAACCCTGTATCTGCAGGACTGAGAGGAGACATCATAAAGCAGAAGCTTTTTGCAGAGCTGAGTCTTATTAATTTCTGACATTAGAATTAATGTAATCAAATGCATGAATTTTTCTTGCAAGAACTTCCTTTTATCTTGGTTCTATTACATTAAAATGGCACTTCTTGTTTTCACCCACTCCAGTGAAGTGCATATTTTACATAAGAGGCTGAGTTCATCCACAGGTGTTGTCTAGGTTGTGATTTTTGCCAGGCCTGAGAAGTGCATATTTTACCGGTTCTTTCTATGCAACATGTATGCTCACTCGGAAGGTGTTTGAGAAAATGTCCAGGAGAGAGATACCCATGTTCAACTATCTAGGTCGGCGATTGAGTTGAGCGATATAGAAAGCATGGATTTTGATACGTGGTTCGACATTGTCGAAAGTGGTCGAGAGTAAGATTGGCTTTTACGTTGTGAAAGTCGTCGGCTTGGGCATGAAGTGATGGTTCTATAATCGGGTGAGGGGTTGTTGGTTTGTTATTTTGTTTGTTATTAGAATGTGACTTACTTCAAAGGTTTAGGATACCCATCTATACTTTGCATGGATCATACAGTTTATAGTGTCATTTATGGTCTAAAGGCATATTTTAGAGAGGTGCGGATTTTGTGAATGGATGAGAATTTAATATTAGAGTATTAGTTTCTTTATTTAGTATACAAAATGGCGTGGTACATATGCGATGACGATTAAAGTCGAAATTCACTAGGCCCATCAGAAAAAAAACAAATATCCCACGGCATTAAAATTCAAAATCTATGAAGTAAATGTCTTTAAATATTAAAATGAATTATTTAAGTTTAATCTTGTTCGGAATGACATATTGAATTTATTCATTTGGAAGAGTCTTCTAACACAAATTATATTAATGATATCAAATGTCCTAGTTTTTTTTGGTCAGAAACTAGTTTAAATATGTGATTTTTTTTCGTTTTTCAATTTTAAATAATGAGTTTTTAATTTGTAATATATTTACAAAACTTATTTTAATTTGTAAGATCGATGATTCTCTCACATTTTGACATTAAAGATTCAAATCTAGGAAATAAATGTCATAAATATTAAAAAGTATTATTTAATTTTCAGCAATATGTAATCGAAATTATAAATAGTTGAATAGCGTAAATGACTAAAATATTTTTATTGGAATAAAAAGAAAAAAAAGAAGAAAAAATAGAAAACCAAGCCATGAAAAAAAAGCAAAAAAGAAAAAGAAAAAAGAAGAAGAAACGGAAAACTAATCTGAATCAAATCATATTTTCGGTTTGGTTCCAAGTTGGTTCGAGCGAGTTTCGGTTCGGTTCAAGGGGCACCCTTTATGGATCGGTTTGGTTAGGTTTTTCAAGAAAATCGAACCGAACCGAACCGTTTACACCCCTATCCATGGCCATGACCGCAATGGCTGCCTTGGCCTAGCGTTGGAGCAGAGCTCTCGCTGACATCTTAGCTCTACTACGAAGCTCACATGGATGGTCGTGGCCCTCGTGAGCACAAACCGCACCTCATGCGGCTTGACGTAGATGCGAGCTTAGCCTCAAGCTTCGATCGCCGGCTCGGCAATTGCCTCGAGTTGCAAACTAGCTCAACATAAATAGAGATAGGGGCACCGAGAGAGGGGTGTTGACGATAGGATCCTTAATTCTTGATTTATCGGGGTTTTATATCGTCTTACCTGCTTGACTCTGTTTATTTCATAAAAAGTCTTCACTTTGAAGAATGTTTTTCTAATATCATTTACGTCACTTAGAAAAATGAGTTCATGGATAACATTTCATGCAAAGGACTCCACTTTGAAGAATGTTTTCACAAGTGTTCATTCTAACCTCACCCTTTGCTCGGAAGCATGATATTGTATTATCAAGAAAGTCTCACTTCTCGAAACTTACCAGAATGTGGGAGTGACACGGTCGTCCTTCCACCCGAAGGATGTAGCCTCAAACACAACCAAAAAACCAACTCCCAAAAATCTCCGTTGATAATGCTCTCGCTCTAGGCCGCTAACTGAGGGATCTGAAAAGATTTGAGAAAGAGAGAGGTGAGCAACCATAATCCAGAGGGTAATACATATCTCTTCTAAGCAGATCAAGCAACTACTACACACACACACACACACACACATATATATATACAAAGCAATACTAGAAACTCATAATCTAACTCTTTAATATACATATCAATTTTATTTCAACAAATTTTATGCAATTAAGAAAATACTCACTTAAATCATCATAAACATCAATAGTCAAGTCTATTGATCAATCTCATCAAAATCACATGCTAAAGGTCTATTTGATCGACTAATCTCGAATCACATATCAATGGTCCAATCATTGAACAATCTATTGCTCAATCTCAAAATATGGTCATGATACAACGCCTTATGACAAGGCAACCAAGATTCACTTCTTAGCAAGGTCTCCATCTATTATAAGTCAATGGCTCGGTCTAGAAAGATATCCTAATCGATATACATATCTACAAGTCTCTCAATGGGCTCACACTGACATCGAGCTTCAACACCAATCCACAACAACATTGATGCACCTAGGGGGGGCCGGCGGACTCGTTATGCGACTAGACGAATCGGCGGGTTTGAAGTCAACGATATCAGATTGAGCTCAAATTTGGTCGGCTGAAGTGAAACGGCGTGCTGATCAATACTCATCGCCTTTGGCTGTGACTAACGATGGATTTTCGCGATTCGAGATTGTTTAGATTGATTTTTCTATTTTTTTAGTATTTTTTATGGGTTAATTTAGTAGAGGGCAGTTTCGTAATTTTGCGTTTTGATGTTTACTAATCCTAGTAGGGTTAGGTTTGGGGATATATAAGCTTGTTTTAGGGTTTCCTTTGGGCAGACTTTGAATATTTTGATTTGATAATCATATTTGGAGGACGAATTGTTCTTCTGTCGAATTTTCTTGTTCAGTCAAATTTTCTATCGCGTTTCGGCATCAAACATCCTCGGCAATCCTCAAAACCAAATCCATAATGGATATCACAAGTCGATTTACAAAACAAAGCATATAATTTTTTGCAACTCAACTCATCCACCAAAAGACCTTATACCATTAATTTCATAAACACTTGTTAAACATTTCAAATAACAAATAGGGTAGTAAATACTCGATCGAAAGTTATTTATCAAATATGCCATAAACATCAATTTTCCTCTTTAGCCAAATTACACTTTTCACATAATATGTATCATACTTTTTATTTTCAAAATATGAGTTTATAAACTCAAAGAAGAAATACCATCACTCACCTAAAAATGCTCAAAAACCAAATAGCGTGTAGCTACAGGAGCTGACGATCTCATAATCCTAACAATTAAATAAAAGACGACGTCAAAATCGTGTAAAACGCTACCTCAACTACGAAACGGCTAAACTAAACTGAAACGCTAACAAAACAACTCCCTTGTGACAACAAATCGCTCCCTCAAAGAAATTATTCAAATCTAAACACAACATGGAACTTGTACGTGAAATCCTAAAATTTCACTCCAACTAAACTGTTTCTTCAAATTGAATCCCGTCAAACCCCATGGCTCCACAATGCTATCCACCAATTCCATGAAATCCCATAGCTCGACAACTCAAAAATCGGATTTCACGGTTTGAATTTTACGAAACTTTGAATATACGACCTAACTCCGAAAACTACTCCGATTGGACAAACGAGGGGCGCAAATACTTACCGGGTGTTGCTATGTAATTGAATTGGCTTGGTTAGGCATTGGCAAGAACCCTCTTCTTATTTCCTTCTTCTTCTTCTTCTTCTTCTTCTTCTTCTTCTTCCCTCTCTGTTTTTCTTTCTCTTTTCTCTCCCTTGCTATCTGCGTGAGCTCTTGGTGCATTAGCTTGGCGATCGTGTATGCACCACTTAGTGCGACCAAGTCCCAAGTGTCGAGACCTTGCTTTTGGAACGTGATAATCACTTAAGGCAAGTCTATGTTTGGTGCGGGAATGTCAGTGTTGGCTGCCGTCCTATTTGCCGTGGTGGAATGTTGTACTTGCCATGAAGGCCCTCCAAGCTGAAATATGAAAGTCAACCTTTTAAATTCAAATTGAGCTTTGCTTAGATATTCGAAACTTTATGTATGTGCCTGGTCAACAAGGGTAAGTCTTGCGATGACCAATTTGCTTAGTTCGGGTTTTCAAACTTAAAACAGAGTCAAATGATCTAAATGAACTTTGAAATACACATCCCAAGCTTTCTAAAAACACTTGAATCATGTCAATTGGACTTTGTTTAATTGGTTAATTGAATTGAAACAGATTCAGTTCAAACTTGAAATTTAACTGAATAAGTGACCCTTTTATGGTTCATTTCCCCTTGTCTGATTGATTGAGAAATAAGGCAATTTGGCCTAAATGCATATTTAATTTGATGCTTATGCATGTGTTTTGTTAGATGAATGGATAGGCACGATGTATACTCGATGGGCAACCGAATGAGATCTCTTAGAACCGATTTTAGCTGTTAATTGACGTTGATCATCATTTTGCGCATGCAAATGGTGACCAATCGTTATTAATCGTCAATCAAATTAGTCTTAGTCGATTAAGAGGTTGGGATGAACGAAATGTATGAATTCCGAAGGCCGTCCTTGAGGCCACTCTTTGATTGATTTGTTTGAACTTTGCTAAATGTGTTGATTGTTTGAGTGCACATTGTGCGAACAAATGTAATGAATGTTGGAAACCGACACCATCGACGATGGCCATGCGAGACGGTCCATGGAGGAGGCTGCCGAGGCTCATGAAGATGGTGGCAAAAGATGATGTCTTATCTGGTCTCAAACTTGTAATAGATAGTTCAATTCAACTAAATAAGCAAGATTGACTTAAATCTTTAATAAAAACGGTATAGTTAGAAAGATCACCAAACATCCAAAGAGAATCAATTGTATAGCTTAGGCTACACATTCAATAATAGGGGGAGCTTGGGACACTAGTGACTTTGAGGCTACTTGAAAGGATTAATGACGCACTTTATATCTAATGGTCGGAATTGATGACTTGCATTGAACAAGTGAAAACATAGGATTTCTTGTGGATTTGGTCATGAGGGAACCTCCCACTTCTTGATTGGGTATCTAACCAACCTCCCACAAGGCTAGTGGCGACTCCTAGTATGATATTTAGGTTGTTAAATAACTTAAAAATAATCACTTGTCATGCGAGGTATGGTCTTGGGAGAGACAGCGTTCAAGATTGATGGACCGATGAACCTAAAATGATGCATTTGAGTTGTCTTTTTGGGATGTGCTATTTGGAATGTTTGTTGAACAATTACCTCTGAATCTATTCTTGGGATGGCCCTCAAAAGGGTAGGTTGCGACAAGTCTCGCCATCGCCAACCTGAGGAATGTGAACACATTGAGGATACCTGTCAGGAACACAAGATGCACGTCGGATATCTTCAGATCCCATTTATATATGTCGCCACCCCGCTCATCATTGTTTGGTCTGACAAAATTCAAAAAAGAAAATCTTATATCATTACAATGTTCGTGCGTAAATCGTAACCATATATAAGAAGTTGAAAACATAAAAATAAAAAAATTTCATGCTGTATTTTCTTCCCTTTTTCCAGTGAATTTATTTTCCAAATGTATATGATTATAAGATAAAAATGATGAGAAATAATAAGTGTGATGCACACTATCCAAAATTAACTTGCTTTGCTAAAAAAAAGGAAAAAAAGTGGATGATATCCGAAATTAAGTAATGCAAGTGTAATATACGTGTTATACACGTGCAATATACGTGCTATATACGGGCAATATATGTGCAATATGTGAAATGAAACGTATGATTTAATTGGCTTTATGTTTCCATCTTGACCATCGACTTCACAAAATCATCCCGACAGTCCTCCACATCATCACTATAAATTTTCACCAGCTCATTCGTTGACCCATCACCGTAAAGTGCTTGATCAAAGTGAAGAAGCCCCTTCTGCGCTAACAAATTATGGAATTACAATGTATCGAATTGAGCAGGCGAAGGATCCAAACCGGCGAGGTTACTCACCTGTCCAATATGCGGGCGCAAAGATCGGAGGCTCTGGCGAAATCAGGGGCGATGTTGGTATTGTTGTATATGCGATCCCTGAAAACACAACATTGCGCGAACCCGATCGCATGTGCACCACTTAGTGCGACCAAGTCCCAAGTGTCGAGACCTTGCTTTTGGAATGTGTTGATCAGTTCAGGCAAGTCCATGTTCAGTGCGGGAACGTTGGCGTTGGCGCTTGTCCTATTTGCCGTGGTGGAGTCTCCCCTTCCAAGTAGTACTGCCCATGAAGGCCCTCCAAGCTGAAATATGAAAGTCAACCCTTTTAAATTCGAATTGAGCTTTGCTTAGATATCTGCAACATTATGTATGTGCATGTGAGCCTACGCATAGTGTGTTCAGTTAGCTGGAGACTCTCTCTTTTACTTGTCTGCACTGTAGTATTGCTCAAATGAAGGCATTATATATGGCATTAAAATTAGACGTACCGCAAAAACGGAGTTACGGGCTGTGACGGTATACCAGTGAGTATCCGCAAGCTTTGTCGACCTTCGCTTTAATCTGATCGATCATTTCGAACCCTTTGGCCAAATTGTTATTCGCGCCGGCGAGCTTTTCGCTGTCAATGATAGGGATCTTATCCAAAAGTATCCGTGGGTCTAATTCTTTAAATAGTTCGGAGGTCCTCAAGGAACGAATCGAGGATCATAAGATCCTATGAATTTATCAAATTAATGTCTAGAGTTTGAAATTCCAACATTGTTTTGCTCAATTATATGCAAATCAACAACTTAGGAATAGGTCATAGGCAGCAAAAAACTCAAGTCCGAAACAGGGCAAGAGCATCTAGAACCTATTTGACCCTCTAGTACAAGAAAATGTCACTATCAAATTTGAGTTTTCCCATTAGAAGTCCAATAAACAAGCTAACAATCAATCGATCCGATGAAAGAACAAATCATCAGTATTGCGAGAACTGTGTCACATCCTAAATGTCATTTTTATTTATGCAACTTGTTGGATAACTCAGTTAACAAGTTGAGGGTGAGTGTGACCTTACAGGTTGAGGGTCACACTCACACTATTCTATACAAATCCTGGTTAAGGGATATACAAAACCCTAAGCACAAGTTTAATCAATATTAAAGACCAAAATCCAGGCTTTTTTGCCCTCTGGGTCACCAAAAACAACCATAAAGTTCTCTTTTTTCTTTGATAAACTTATTACAGTTCATAATAATTAGCAGCATGATCCAGAAAGAGCTCGAACTGTAGACATAGATAAGCTGCTCATTCAAGCAGAGTCAATAGATGTGGGAAGTGTCAATGCGTCCTTCCCCATCACCATGCCCAAGCATTTCGTCTTGTTCATGATGAATCTTGCTTGATTGCCTCGGTGGGTTTCCTCATCAAAGTCGCCTCTGCAGAAGAACAGCATGTCAGTCTTTCCTTCTTCCCAATCAATCAACTGATTTTCACTCGAGGGGCGGTGTGAATTCGCACATCGTTCCTGAGATTTTGAAGCACGGGGGAACCCATGATGGATCTGGCCGCCATACACTGATCTCGAAACCATCTCCGAGCGCCCGGTTCTCTTCTGTAGAACCATCTCCTTCCCGACCGAGGTAGCTTTCCATGCACCCAGGACAGACCAACAAAATCTGAGTTGGAGGAGTAGTTGAGACTCGTTGAGGCACTGATTTCGATCACGGACGGCCCTACCCGACTCCTTCTGTCGGATATTAGGAAGACCATCTCTCTTTTCAGTCCATGTGTATGGTTAGCCCCCATTGCAACACAATTCAACATCACCCATACAACATCCGGTCCATGTGTGTTCGTAGATTGCACTGCACTGATGGTAGACCCGCGAGGCGAGACAAAAGGTACAATAGCCACATTAGCACTCCAAACGCTAACCAACGACGCAATTCATCGTCCGAGTACTTCGAGTAAACCCCGCAAAATAAAAATTATCAATAACCAAACTGTCGTGTGTCCAAAAATCTTGTCGGTGCGAATATCTCCGGGACAAGTAGATATGATTTAAAATAAAAAAATAAGGAAATTTGTTAAAGGATAACCATGCTTCCTAGATTGCAGCAATCTTCTGGAAGCCCCGTTTGTAATTCGCCTACTAGTTCCTAGTCACTCACATGCTAACAAAGGAAAGAGGGGATAGTATTCTACACACTGGCGGTTGGCACCGTGTGGTTCCCATTCTCCCAAAGCTTTTGTCCATACCGAGGAATATCTAGAATAGATATTCCGTCGTGCGACACATGTAAAGGTGTCATGTAGCTTCGCTTCATGGGCAACTCCGTGGACAAAACCAACGACAGTGCGGCATGCGAAACATTATTTCTTGTAAGATCCTCTATTATTCGTGCAAATTCTTAATGCGTCATGGGTCTTGATCTAATGAAATAATTCCAAGCGAGATGCTAATTTATTTACTCATCCATCATCGAGCGCTTACAAATAGCGATGATGAAAAAAAAATAAACACGTTCACAAGAATTCCCAAGCTCACATTATAGGCAGTATGGTAAAGTAGCATGACCAAGAGCACATTATCTTGATTGAAAAGTCGGGTCAATCAAATGTCGAGTTCTTTTCGGGTGGATGCAAATTAAACGGAGTCGCCGAGGCAAAAACGTCCGCGTGGCACCGATTATCTCTTCGATCCTTAATAGTCTTTTTCCAAGATGGGGGTGGGGGCAAACTGCCAACTGGCCACTTGGGTACCCTAGTGAACCCAATCTAGGATCTCAAAGGCAATCAATCACGCACGCACCATCAATCAAGCGATTGGGAACCAAAAATATCTGGCCAAAAAGAAATGAATAAAACACATGTGGCCTCAACTAAAAGCATCAGGCCATGAAAGAACAGCCTTAATGATAACAACCACGACTTTTTTTAAAACGATAACAATACTAAGGTTTCAAGTAAAAACCCGTGGGCTCCAAATTGACCACGCACTCACCCAAAACGGATGGATCGCACGTCTCGTCCGGGCATCTATCTCGTACCGCAGATGTTTAAAAAAATTGCCCCGACGTCGAACCCCCCCCCAATCGGCGATCGACACGTGGAGCTTCGCGAAGAAGAATCTCGCGCGATGTGGGGTGGGGGGTGGGGGGGAAATGAAAAGATAATAAAGCAGCGCCCCCCACCCGATGACTCCCGAAAAAAAAAATCGAAAAGGGCCCACGGAAATCGAGCCTCCCCTAAATATCCTCCACGTGTCGCGACGACGTCCATGAGATCCGGTGCCTCCCCCTCAGCACTCAACCTCCCCCCCCCCCCCCCTCCAAAATATCTCCACTTAAACAAGTATTTCCCGAGGCCCCACGCCCCGCCACGTGTCCAACCCCTCCCAAAAATATCCCGAGCACCACAAGTCCTCTCCCCACCCCGCCCCCGGCCTTTTTGACCTCACAAAAAAAGAAAAAAAAAGCACGGGAGGAGGAATTTTCCAATTTCCCATTTTCGATTTTTTTTTTCCTTCTTTTGTGTGGGGGCAAGGTCACTGGCCACCTACCAACCACACAAACCAATGACTCTTCTCCTTTTGATCTCGGGGGGGGGGGGGAGGGCTCGGGCTCCGATAGAGCGGTGACGTGGCACGCCACAGCCACACACGCGAGGGGTGCTCGAGATATTTTGCGCGCGCGCATTTGGGCGAGATATTTCTCGCCGTCGGATCCCTTGGGCAGTTAGCGGTGGGCCGGGCGTCCTCGCCGTCCGATCCCCACCCCCCAATGTCCTATCGACGCCAGATTTCGCAGATATTTTGAGCAGCCAAGGAAAAAAGAGATAAAAGAAGAAAAACGAGGCAAAGAAAAAAAACAACACACGAAAGGAAGGTGATCTCAGTTTCCGTTTCTCCTCCAGTTCTTTCACCGTGTCGCGACGTGAAGGAGATGGGGGAGGTGGTGGTGAGCAGCAGCGACGGCATGGAGGAGAGGGAGGAGGAGGTGGTCGAGGTCGTCGGCGGCGCCGGCGGGACGGCGGCGGAGAAGCAGGCGGGGAGCCCGGGCGGAGTGGTGAAGTGGGAGAGGTTCTTGCCGAGGATGGTGCTGCGGGTGCTGCTGGTCGAGGCCGACGACTCCACGCGGCAGATCATCGCCGCGCTCCTCAGGAAATGCAGCTACAGAGGTCGGTCTCGGCTCTCTCTCTCTCGGCTCGCGATTTCTCTTGTTTGGTGATTGCTTCGTCTGTTCCTGTCCTCCTGTACTGTGTGGGAAGCTTTGATTGTGGAATGGTGACGAAGAAGGTCGATGTTCGGAGTTTTAGTCCGGCAGGTTTTCCAATTGTAGTGAGTCGAGGTTGAGGAGTGGCGTTGTTGCTGTTGTAGGCTCGAACGATCTGTGCTTCTTGTGCCTGGTGGTTGGCTGCTTAGGCAAATTGGCGTACAAGTCATGGGGTCGTGTCTCGATGACAGTATCGGAAACCGCGACCTCTGTGTCCATCTCCTTCAGTTTGCTGCTTTTGGGAGAATGGTTTCGCAAGATCTTCTGTCGTTTGTCATTATGCGTGTCCTTTTCCTTGGATAGAACATCATTTTTCGCTCTCTACTAGGCAAGGAGGCCTTTGTTGGGTTTCGATTGAAGTGTTCATCTTAATGTCGTCACGAATCATCACACGTTGTCTGTTGTTGATGCAACATGTGAGCTGCTTGCTTCCTCATTCAGAAGAAGAGGTCAAGTAGAAAGTATTTCAGTGTATAACTGCTAAAAGAGGCTAATTAGTTTGAAATATGGAATACATGGTTTGTCTTGTGCCATGTTTCATAGTGCTTACTGATTAACATTGGTTTTCACTGCCTGCACAAACCAAGACATGCATTAATAGGTTGTGATTTGCTTTTAAGTTGTGGATGTCTTGTTGATGTAGACTCGTTCTGTCCGCCCTGAAAGAGGTTAATTAATCAATCTCCATCTGTATTTTCATACTTACGAGTTATGCACAGGTTTTTAGAACTGAGGTTTAGAATTTCCTTCTGTCTCTATGCGTTTTAACATGTCAGCCCTCGTAATGGAAATGACTTTATCCTTTTGTTGAGCAGTTGCAGCTGTTCCTGATGGTTTGAAGGCGTGGGAGTTGCTGAAGGGAAGACCTCACAGCATAGATCTCATATTGACTGAAGTGGAATTGCCGTCAATATCTGGATATGCTCTTCTTACTCTAATCATGGAGCATGATATATGCAAAAATATTCCAGTCATAAGTACGTCATACATATCTATACATAGCAGATTCATATTCTTTACTGGTGCCATGGTCCAAAATGACTTATTTGCTATTCCGTTGTGATTTTGCAGTGATGTCCACACAGGATGCTGTCAGCACGGTGTACAAGTGCATGTTGAGAGGTGCTGCCGACTATCTTGTCAAGCCTATTAGGAGAAATGAATTGAAGAACTTGTGGCAACACGTGTGGAGAAGACAAACCGTAAGCCTCCTAACTTGCTTGTAAAATATGCAGGTCATTTAAGATATATTACTAACAATGGCTTAGCATTTTTCCATCTCATTTTTATGTTTACTTCAAAATTATCGCTTGCTCTATTGAGACCCCGATATCTTTCCTGTTTCCGCAGTCAACCGCAAGTGCAAGTGGCCGAGAAGATGAGACTAATGCGTTGCAGAAGGTTGAAGCGACTGCTGAAAATAATGCTACAAGTTGTCATTCGAGTGGGTACATGGCTTGTGTCGAGAGAGACAGGGAATTAATTGAGAAAGGAAGCGATGCTCAGGTTAGTATCCACTCCCACATCGAGGAAGCACTCTTCTTTGCTAAGAGGAATAAAAGCACCGCCTGTGCAGTCAATCTGATTTTCGTCGTAAAATTCACTGGCAATCTGATATTGTATATGCAATTTGGAGTTCCTCTTATCTTTAATATTTACCTGCAGATCCACTTTGTTTTAAAGTTCCATGTATTAATTATATGTCAGATCCACTTTGCTTTTAAGTTCCATGTGTTAATTATGTGTTTGCATTCCTTCTCTGTAGAGTTCTTGTACAAAGCCAGACTTAGAAGCTGAGATTACAGAAATAGAACAGGTGCCAGATTTTTCTCGGCCTGGGTGGGACAAATCTTCTGTGAATGACAATAAGATAGCAATGCCTGAAGAGAAAGTGAAATCAACTCAGGAAGAACTTGTCTTGCAAGAGGATTCTGCTGATGGTATGCTATTCGCAACTTCTCCATTTTTGTTTTGTTGCATTCAATCATTTAACAAAACACCTGACTCTCCACGTTCTTTCTGGAAAAGCAGCTATGGTGGATGCCCACAAATGTTCTCATGCATTGACTCAGATCAAGGATGCCAGGTCTGAAGTTCACAGGGGGGATGAAAATGCTGTCAGTGATGGGTGTGGTGATAATGATGGAATAATGAACTCATATAGACAAGCGATTAACTTAATTGGAGCATTTGAGAATAATTCACATGCCTGTTATGTTGATTGTCCATCCAACTATGGCATGAGACAGCCAGACTTTTCACCACATCTGGATCTTTCCTTGAAAAGATCTGATCCTAGTTCTTTCGGAAATCAAAAAACTGAAGAGAGGCAAACTCTTAAGCATTCTGATGCTTCAGCATTTTCACGGTGAGTTTACTTTTCAATCTCTGATACTTGTCGTGCATTATAATTTTGGCTATGAGGAATAAATTTGAAGATGCAGCTGGTCTGTGGTGCATTTTCTGTTGTCGTGTTCTTCTCCTTTGCACATTTAGGTGCTCTCTCTTTAGTAGGATTGTCTTCTTCAACTCAGTTTGGAAGTCCAAATGTGCAGGTATGTGAACAAATCTTCGCAACCTTTGCGGCCACAGTCAGTTAATGTTCCTATTCAGCGGATGGCACATGGAAACGACCCTGATAAAGAGGCTTTGCATGTTGTTGATGATAGTAATCCTGACACTTCTGTTCCTGTGCAAAGCACTCCAACAAGTATGATTGCATCGGGAAGCACTCAATCTAGGCAGTCCGAATACATCCTTTCGTGCCCTCAGCAGAGTGGTTTTCCGGCTCCCATTCCAGTGAGAGGTGTCAGGTTTGACAATCTAAGCACAGATTATGGTTCTGTGTTTCCTCGAATATACTGTGGGCAATCAGTTCCCTCACCAGTGCCAAGTCCGAGTACTACTGGCCAGCAAGATGCTTTCTTCCGCTCTGAATCACTTCATCAGTCAAGTTGTGAAAATAATAATTGTGATCGCATACAAAACCCCCTCGATCAAAACACAAGCAACTCCTCCAACCAGAGTAGGTACAAACAGGAGTTTAAGTTTGATTCGTTGGAGGATCGAGGACATATTTCGCCGGGTACGGACAGGAGTGCAACTAGCAGCTTCTGCAATGGCACATTAACTGGGCTTAGTAGTCTCGACTGTGGAAGTAACTCTGGAAGTAATGGCAATGTGAATCAGGTCTCTGCAACGAGGCATGCTGGTGAGAGCATTGGTGGAGATGGTATTGTTGCTCAAGATGGAAGCTCCCGACGAGCTACGCAAAGAGAAGCAGCTTTAGCGAAGTTTCGCTTGAAGCGAAAAGATAGATGCTATGAAAAGAAGGTAAATACTTTTACTTTGGTCCTGATTTTTTAGTTAGTGCGAGTAGTCATCATATTTGCCTACTTGAGCCTATTTCCTTTTGTTGTGAGACAAAATTGTTTAAATTAAAACTGATGGGTATCCAATAGGGATTTTTCTTGTGGAAAATATATCTCAGGCCTCGAAATTTTATTCCCTGTGGAGTTCTGGGGTATCAGTTTGAAAACTTGAGTATTTTTGAGAATCTCAGTGAACTGGGGTCAGCACAAATGTTGTCCGTTGCTCTTACCAACAGCCTTATATGTGGTCTTGTTCTGCCTAGAAGTAGGGATTTTTCTGTCTCCTCTTCATAGAATCTTCGAAGGCCATAAGGAGATCTTGGAGATTTAGGTGTTTTTCGAGCCTTGTGATAGAATGGAATGAATGGTTTCTCAGGCCTTGAAATTTTAGTGGCAGCATGCTGATTTTTAATCAATTCAGCTTCCAAAATGGAGTATGGATTTCTGAAACACTCTGTATCAAATCTTGATAGTTGAAAGTGAAACTCAGAATGGGCGTGTGTTAGCACGTGTTACATGGTTGATTTTTTTCTAATGGAAATGGGACCCCTTCTAATCTGGCTGGCTCGTTAAGAGTTAATTAGGTCATTTTGCTCATAACTTAGCATATGATGGTATTTTATTTCAGATCCGTTTGGTTTCGCATGTTTTAGAATCTTAATAATGACAAAAATCAAAATCCCACCGAGTACCATTTTCCAGCATGTAGACTTAATTATGCCACTGGTCCTCAGGTTCGGTATGAAAGCAGAAAAAAACTCGCAGAGCAGCGTCCTCGAGTGAAAGGACAATTTGTACGGCAAGTGCCTGCAGATCCTGCACCCGGAGAAACCAATCCTTGACATGGCATTTTGTCCACATGTGCAACTGAACTATCTGCTTTCAAATGGGAGCCATGGTCTTAAGATAGCTGGATTTAAGACGCATTTTGAAGAACACCGCACCCATTTGTGATTGCTTGGTTAGTAGCGGAAGGACTTCCCAGGATGCGTCTTCTGACACCTTATTCTCACCCCTCTTTTGTGGATAGAGAACAGAGTAATCTGTAGGATTCTTTTTATCATAGTACTAGATCTAAGCAAGTCCTTTTCCCTTGCTTTTAGTTCTTTGTTTTGTGAGGTATTGGCATATGTGTTGTATTTAATCAGATATATAGGTTGTCCTTTTTTTTTGCAGAAGTTAGGGATAGGTTCCACGTATAAAACCGAATGTGGCTTATCAACTGGCTGCCGCTTGACACGATATGTGTAGCTAGTGTTTTTGTTTAATACTGCAGACTCGTTGCTGCCCTTTATTTTTAGGTGGTACCATTTAAGTTGTCTGTGCGTCAGATAGTTTTGGTCCTCCATTTGGGTCAGGAGAAAAATCAAGGCTCGCAAGTGCATCTACTGAATATGTTGTTACTGCATCTGAATCTTTAAGTCAAGTCAACTATGCAGAAGTGAAACTTAGAGTTCAGGCCTTCGAAAGAACCGATGTGAAATCGGCAACTGAAATTTTCACGGGCACCAATTTAAGTTCAGCCTAAGAATTTTCCTTCTTCTCGTTCTTCAGGTGAATGTCGATTCATATCTCTCAATCGAACATGATGGATCTTTATTTGGTTCGAGAGTCTTGGCATCTAATGAAAATCTGGTCACGCAAAATTTTCTCCTAATTGACAGGATGACGCATTAAAATGAGCGAAAGACGTTGCCAAAGCAAAACGAATCCAGGAAGATTTCGAACCAGAACCAGCGCTGAGCGTAATATTCTCTCGAAGATCCTACAGCGTCACGGTGCCGTGGCCCATTGGCTCTTTATCGCATGGTCAGTCAACTCGAGACGCAGCGGTACATGCGTGAGCATCAAGCTTGACGAGGGTCATTGTCTTGTTCGATTTTTTTTTTTTAACGTTAACATGCAATGGGATTCATTGGTCTCAGGAATCCGATGTCACTAGCACATCAGCTCGTGGACTTCTTCTCTTTGCGCGGTTCAGTTTCTTAACCTGAAAGAAATGAGAAAGACTCGAATAAAAGCGAGGCAATCATCCTGAGAAAGTATTATTCCCATGGGGATACTGGAAAAGTCGTTCTAGGGGGACGCGCTCCATGCTTTCTCCACCTTAAGCTGTCTGTTTTCATTGCTCGTCAAGAAATTTCCTAAAAGTCAAAATCGGAAGTACCCTTTTCAGGGTAATATTCATATCGATGTATACGTTTTTTACACTGTAAAAACCGGCAAATCCCTGGAGCAGTTTCTAAGCGATCCGCCAAAACCAAAAAAGGCAAGGAGAGCGATGCGGAGATGCGAAGATGATCCGAGAGATAGCTACATGTCATGTAGAATGCGACGGTGCATGACCATGCACATAAGCTCATGCTCATTGGATCTCCAAAAAGCACCACACCATCATCGAATCTGCCACTGCTTCGCTTTGTTAGAAAGCAGCAGATTATTAAAAAGCACACGTTTGTTCAGCTTTTTCCATCTGAAACTTTGCGGGCTAGTGGATTGGCAGATACACATCAAGACGCAGCAGCATACATTTACCTGAGGCCGAGGGTGTTCCACTCCGGATCTAATGCTCAACTGTCTCCCAAATTTCGCTTCGTTTACTTCCAAGAAAGGTTGTACAGGGACAAGGCTGCTTTGTAGTTTGCAAACGGCATTGTCTCCGACTCTCATGCCGCATGATTCAAGATGCCACTGGGTGCCGCTTACTTCAACTGAACACTGCTCCCAGGAAGAAGAAACGGGACAGAAGAAAATGTTCAGCAGAACAATCAAAGCTTGGATCCTTTATTCACGTGACACTTCGAATTCATTAACTGGAATTATGAATTTAAAGTTAGCGCGACTTATCAACTTTTGTCCAATTAAATTAGCTACTCTTATTTGAAACAATGTCCATTTGAGGCCTTTATTTGAGAAAATAAGGGCACTTTATGCCCTCATTTAAAACAAGTTTTACTTCATGCCCTTATTTAAGAAAATGAGAGCACTTCAGACTCTTATTTGGAATTTTCTCTAAGAAATAAGAGAAGTTGTTAACTTAAAAAAATCAAATAAATATTGGTTACTAACTCGAATAAAAGCTGGTAACGGAAAACTAGTCCGTGATATAATAGAAGGAAAAGTTGGTGCACATTTATTGAGGTTGGTAATTTGCACAAAAAAGGTAAAATTTTAAAGGTTAATAAGACAAATAAAAGTGGTAATTCAATAGAAAAGTTGATAAATTAAAAAATTAATAAATAAACATACATAAGCAACTCAAATGCGAGTTGGTAACCCAAACCTAGTTGATAACTTAACGAGAGAAAAGTTGATAAGTTACTCAAATAAATGTTGGTAATTTTATATAATAGGTGGTAAATTCGAGGAGTTAATAAGAAGGGTAAACAAAAGCTTATAAAGGATAATATAAGCTTTTTTTGTCAGAGATAATAGAAGTTGGTAATTCTTTTAATAAAAATAAATATCAAATAACTAACTCTAATAAGAGTTGGTAATCAAACTAGTTTTGTTAATGTAATTGAAGAATAGTTAGTAATCACTTTAATTATATTGGTTATTTATAAAAATAATTGGCAAATTTAGCGATCAGCAAGTAAGGCCAACAAAAGCTGGCAACTTAATATCAAGGTCGATAAACTTAAAGAAAAAACCGAAAATAAACATTTATAAGAAACTCAAAGGAAATTGGTAACTTAATGAGAGAAAAATTAATAAGTCTTACAAATGAAGATTAGTAAATCCACACACGAGTTGATAAATTTAGGACGATTGTAAGAAAAATAAATAAAAGCTAGTAAACGCTAACAAAAGCTGATAAATCTAAAGAAACTAAATGAACTTTAGTAAATAACTTTGTTAGATTTTTAAAATATTAAACCACTATGCTACTGATATATCAGGTGACCCGGAAAACGTTTTTATCAACATGCTTTTTAACACTAATCAACTCTTTCCGAAAACTATGGTTATGGGACATCACAAGGTCTTTCTGGTGAAGAATGGTTGGCACATTGAAGTTGAATCACTTGATACATGTCAAGATTTACAACTGACTAAGTATGCCCCAGATTATAATCCTTGGCAACTGGGAACCTACAAGAGGATCTGCAAGTCAAAAAGCATGAAAGCTAAAATTATTGCTGCTTTCTGCCTTCTTGCCCACCTTTTATTTAACTCCCCCTTCTCTCATTCCTTAGCATGCTAAACCACCCCCTCTCTCTCCACTCACCTCGTTCAGTTCCTGCAAATGTCTCCAGCCCTCATCAGTTCACCGGAGCACTGCGCAAGGCGAGGATTCAACATTGACAGGCGCTACAAGAAGCTGCTTTTCGCATTCTTCACCACCCTGACCTCATTCCTCGCGCTGGTTATTCTTGTTTGGCTCATCCTCCACCCGGCCAAGCCTAAGTTCACGATCAAGGAAGCCGATATCGACCAGCTCAACCTCTCCAGCCCTCGCCTCAACTCCTCTATCCAGCTCACTTTGCTCGCCGAGAATCCTAATGGAAAGGCCGGGATTTACTACGACGACCTACAAGCTTATGCTGCTTATACGGGTCAGCAGATAACGGTTGAATCCGCTCTTCCTCCTTTCTATCAAGGGTGTCAACACAGCGATCTCCTGACCGCTTCCTTGGTTGGAAACGGACTTCCAGTGGCTGCTTCTCTCGGTTACCAAGTGGGACGCGATCAGACGGCTGGGAAACTAGCGTTGAGCATCAAGGTGAATGGACAGCTGCGGTGGAAGGTCGGGACTTGGGTTTCCAGGCAATATGTGCTCAATGTCAATTGCGTCGTGGTCATGGCCTTTCAGCCTGGTGCCCTGGTTACCCCCTTGAGTTCGAAGCAGGGGAGTCGGTGTTCGACTTCCATATAAAATTGACATGTACTGAGTCTACTGACGTTTTCCGGGTCTAACCGTTTTCTTCCTTATCTATGTTTACACTTTGTTGATATTGTTTCGTAAGCATTCTGCGCCCGGTAAATCCAGTGGACGGATGGTTTGGGGTAAAAAATGAAAGTCAGTGCTGTGTGAGAATGAATTTCTACGTTCAGCTTTTCATCGTATTTCTATATCTTATCTTTGCATATCATCATTCATACAAAGGTTTGGATGAGTGGAAATGGAAGGGGATATGTCTGTAGATACTACTTTTTCCACTCTCCTTTTGCTAGTGAGTATTGAGAAGGGGCTGATGTGGAGGATTATTCAGCCTTTGGTTCTTTGCTTGGGTTGCAGAAGAAAGAAGGATAAGTTGGCACGAGATGAGATTCAAAGGGGGCAAAAATCAAAATAATAAAGGAGAAATTAAAGGCGGGAAAACAACTGCTTTTTGGATGAGAATCTTGGCACATCCTTAGCCTATTGCCCTACCTTAATGATTGGCAGATTAATGGAGACCACCCTCTACAAAGAGAACATTGCCTAAACTCAACATCCCAACTAAAAACAGCGTTTTTTATATGATTTTGTATCGTGATTGGTTCTGCTAACTGAGTATTTTAATTTCATGGAATGAGTCTCTACAATATATTTTGTGGTCCGCTTGCGTGATGAGCATGAACCGTCTCGTGCAACAATTCCGGGTCCCAATCTTTTCTAAGGGTATATGAACTTCTTGAATTCTTTCTGCAATATATGCTCTTAATCACAGCTGAGAGTTGAAGAGTCAAGAACCACCACCACAACAACAACAACAAAATTGAATGGACGAGGATTCATTTGGGTCTGGTTGCCTGGAACATAGACAAGACACAGACTCGAGGGCGTCTTTGGAATGAACCTACCTGTAAGCATAACATGAAAAGTCCTAGTTATGCTTCGCTCTTCGGTAAAACCAGCATATATAAAAGAGTGCAAACTCTTCGGTAAAACTGACATAATCCGGACACGACTTTGTTGGCTCTTCAGATTCCTAAACAGAGGATTAGCTGTCGAATTCTACAGCGAGTTCGGATTCTAATCCAAAGTTTACAAAGCTCTTTGTCGCATCTGTCGAATTGTACAGCGAGTTCGGATTCTAATCCAAAGTTTTACAAAGAAATCTTTGTCGAATAGTGCGACAGAGACGTGTCTTGGTTGTTCTTCGAGAGAGAGAGGGAGAGAGAGTTCGCAACTATCAAAAGTCCTCACGACCACCAGTTATCTTATCTTTTCATGGCTTTATTATGGAATGTCAGTTGGATTTCTGTTTCTGGCTAGATTTCCCTGTAACGTGAGAATTCAGGACATGAGGCAAGCTGAAGGGCCTTGGAAAATGTCGTTCTTATCGAAATCCAACAAACACATACCAAACCCCGCACGTCGTCAAAGTACCGTGTGTTTGAGCATGTGCTAGAAATTAGAAAGAACACCCATATCCACAGTGAAACTGCATTGACAGCAACAGGTTTAAGCACATGTCTATGATCACGTGATTAATTTCTTACATTAGCAGCTCACCAACGCATCTTCTTTCGAGAAAAGCTTTACGCAAGTAGAACTCGCACCAGCCCAAATGATCATAACTTGTACTATTCAAAGACAGTCAACTTTTTTGGCCCAGAGTACAAAAACATTCAACTTGTGGTGCCATTCTCTGAACCGGATATGATCAGATAAGATCGGACATAACTCCGTGATACAATGTCTAACCCTAGGGCTGATTTTTCTCCTTTCAAGCGACATGTGGCTTTTAAGTTGTCGACCTAGCGAAGCCATACCTGTTTCCCGCAATGAATTCGACTACTCGTCAAACACGTCCAGCTCAATAAGTTTCAGTATCTCTCCCTCCCTTCCTCTCTGATCAGTTCCAGATCTCATTGACTACTGCAATTTGGCTGAAACTTCGGCCTATGACCATGAGGCAAGTTGCCGGACCAAATGTCCGCCTGAATGAGTTGCCGAGACGTGATCCCGAGTGTGATCTGGTCCCATGGCTTGTCCTCACGGTCACCGGCCTAGATTTCAGCCAAATCGCACAAACTTGCAGTCAACAGTTGATTTGCAATTGTCCACAGCCGGTCGACATGCCATAGGCCAGGACTTTATAGGCAGGGTGTCTGAGAACGTCCGATAGTTCCTATTCTTACACTCCAAGACAATCCCATCTACATCCTGATGCTTGCCAAAAACTTCTACTACATCTTACGCCGGTAATATTTCACTAAGAAAGTTTCTTTTATAATCGAATTCCATCTTAGCTGGAATTTCAAGGGGTGACTGGAAGTCATAAAGTATACCATTTTCAAGTTCAAACTCTCTCATCAAATTAAAGTCCATTGCTGAAGTTCTAACTTTTACATAGTTCCGGACCTTGTGTGGTTCGATATATACAACCTTAGTGAGGCCCTGAGCAAGATGTACAGGAGGTGGAAAGCAACAGAGCACCATGAGAACTCAAAGAATCACATTACTGAAGCTCATCATATCACTGAATAAGAGATGTCATGAGCGAATTTACATCAGGCTCATCATAAGCTAAAAAAAGCTCTACACAACCATCACTCCATCTGAAGATGCAAGCTATTACCAGAGCTACAACCATCTTGACGAGCTCACGTAAGGCTCAACCTCATATACGTTATCGAATCGCGCCTTATTCTCTATCGTATACATAATAAAAGAACAGAACAGAAAGAAAGCAAAAAAACACCAAAATTGTCAAATTGAAGAGCCAAAACTCCCAACCCTCCAGCCAAAAACTAAAATTTCAAGATTCAATAGAATCAGCACTCACCCATTTCCAGTAATGCCTCTTCACAGAGACCGCCCTGTTCGCAACGCCCGCATCGCCGCCGCTGCATTCGTATTCCTCCTCCTCCTCCGTGCAGAACTCCGCGTCCTCCGGCAGCCCCTCGACCTCCACCTCGAACGAGTGCAGCATGTAACACGCCGGCAACCCCGGATAAGACATCGAATTCCTCTCCTCCACTTTCATCTCATACGATCCCGGAACAATCCTCACAACATCCCCGAAATTCCCGATCTCCACCCGAATCACCGACCCCAATTCTTCCCTCACGGCCCTGATCACCGCCATCTCGGGCGTCTCGCTCGGCTTCATCTTCTCCGACAAGGGCCTGCACCGCTGGCGGACGCTGCCGTCGGACAGTTCCTGGCGCGACTCGACGAGAACCCGACCGTCGGCTCCGACGACGCGGACCGAGACGACGCTGACGGTGCGGATCGGGGGCACGGAATCGGCGAGCGAGGTCTCGCCCTCGGATATCTCGAGCCAGAGGTTGTGGACGTTCTTGGTGCCGGGCTTGACGCCCCAGGAGGCGAAGGAGTCGGAGGGGAGCCGAGGCCTGAGCCAGTCGGAGAGGGACTGCGGGGTGGCGAAGCGGTGGCGGGTCTTGGGGCTGGGGCGGGACATGGTGGGGATTCCGAGGAACCGCCGGGGGTTCAAGGGGCAGGACAAGAACGGGATCTTCAGGGCCCTGGCTTTAGCTGCGGCGGCGGCGGCGGTGGTGGAGGAGGAGGAGGAGGAGGAGGAGGAGGAAGAAGGGTGGGAAAAGAGGAAGAGGACCGAGAGGGCGGTGAAGAAGAGCTCGGGCAGGGCGGCGGTGGGCTGGTGGCGGAGGAACGGGAGGTGGGTGTGGTGGTGGTGGTGGGGGTGGTGGCTTTTGGTGACGGGTTGCGGCGGCTGCGACATGTCAACGGTGTTGTGGGTGATGATGGGTATTGCTCCGGCGGCGATCAAGATCAGATTTTGGGGGTTGTGGTGGTGGCGATAGCGAGCAGTCCATAGAGAGAGAGAGAGAGAGAGACAGATTCTTGAAGAGGAAGAAGAAGGAGGAGGAGGAGAAAGGAGGAAAGTTTGGTGTTCTTGATTTTGTGGGTTCTGTTGACGGAGATTGGGGCTTGGTGTCTGAGAATAAGAGGTGAGGAATACAGGTGGGTTTGGGATCAGATATATTGAAATTGATGTCCTCTACTATTCTCTCTTTTTTATCTGGTTCTTTTGGTTTTTTTTTTAATAAGGTCACACACAATGTGATTTCGAAACTTTTAATTTATTCAATATAGTCCATGAACTTCAGTCCAGTATGTAATGTCGTCCATGAACTTTTAATTTGTTTAATGTGGTCCCCGAACTTCGACCGAATGTGCAACGTCGTCCCTGAACTTTAAATTTGTTATATATGGTTTATGAACTATTGATACATGTTTAATTTGGTTCCTGGACTATATATTGTCCATGAACTTGAATTAATGGAATGATAACATTGAACATTTTCATATAATTTAGGGACAAGATTGAATAAGTACCAAAAGTATAAGAGTCACACTGAACAAATTAAAAATTCGGGGACTATATTACATATTGATCTAAAATTTATGGATAATATTAAATAAATTAAAAATTTAAAAGCTATGTTATGTACTGAATCAAAGTTTAAAGATTATTTGCCTCGTTATCCTTTTTTGTTAGGTCATGGACACGGTGGCATTGCATCAATTTGATCTGGGCCTGTCTTGTATTTCTGAATCTGGGCCCTTGAGATGGGTCAGTCGCATCCACCGTGGGCAGACCAGATGTGCCTGGATATATCTCTCGACCGTGACCTCGATCTTGGGCTTTTCGGATCCTATCCGGAAAGCCCATTTCTGAAGAAAGACTTCGTCATTGGGGAAGCATAAAGAGAGTAAAAAACAAATTCGATAAGGGCGCGTTTGATAACCATTCTGTTTTCGAAAATAATTTTTATTCAGAAATAATTTATTTTGATTCCGTGCCCGGGAACAATATCTAAGCATTTGAAGGTATTTGATAATTGCCCAAAATTTCTATTCTTGGAATAGGAAAATAACATAAATGCGTTTGATAACTATACAAAATTTCTTTTTATTAATAATATTTTGAATATTTTAATAATTATTTCTCTTTTTTTTTTCTTTTTTTTCTTCTTCTTCCGCTTCCTTGGCCATGGCTAGGTCGCCGGTGCCGGCGATCGGCCACAGGCGAGGGCTGGACCCTCGTTGCCGCCCTTGCTAGATCCGGGGAGGGCGGCTAGCGGCCTGGTTGAGGGTCGCCCTTGCCCAAGCAGCGAGGGTCCAGCCCTTGCCGGCCCTGGCCTGTGGCCAGTCGTTGGAGGTCGGCCATAGGCTAGGAAGAAGAAGAAAAAAAAAATTTCTTTTCCATTTTTGATTCTTGTTCTCAGAATCAAGAAACAATTTTTTTTGCTTCTTCATTTTGTTCCAAAACTAATTCTGGAAATAAATTTTTGCAAATTTGTGCCCGGGAACAAAAAATTTACCGAACGGATTTTGTTCCAAAACTGATTTTGAGAACAAAAGAATAGAAATAGTTACTATTTTCCTGGTTGCCAAACGCGCCCCAAGCATCACGCATCACATCATCAACCGTGCCGCTTAAGAGCCCTAATCCCGAATCTCGGATAATGTCGACAGAATCGTGGCGATGAGACCATTCGTACGTATGCTCCGATATGAATGCTTTGTCGCACGTTGAACTACTTGAAGGTGCGACATGTTAATTTAAATGCTCATCCACCCATCTCTTACTTTTCAATCGGAATTCTTTGACATACCGACACTGATATGATCATATGATAGTCTCTCACAAGTTCCGCTCAAGATGAGCGGGAGGAATAATAATAATGCGACTCGAATAAAAGTTACACGGTGAATGGCGAGGCACGACACATTACATGCAGAGGCTCTGATATTAGTGAGTTTAAAGCTCACAAATGGAATCGATGTTAAATGATGGATGAAAGGGCATAGTCGTAAGTTTTTTTTCTAACAAGAGAGAGACTATAATATAATCAGCCAAACTCCAAACTTGTAGTATAATTTACCCTACTTTGCGTATCAGTGATTTCCAGACAGACCCACAAAAAGAAGAAGAAGAAGAAGAAGAAGCGGCAAGATCTGTGATATCTCTTCATGTGGACTCATGGAGCTAAAGTAACATGGTCTCCCATGGTCTTCTGCAAAGGCTAGTATTCTCAATTTCTCATCATCTTCATCTTTGCGATCTTGATGCAGCCTGGATTATCAGAACTCCAGATCCTCCCCAAACAAGTACACCATCCTCTCCGCCCTCCACGGATCGCCGCCCCCGTCTCCTCCCTGCTCCTCCGACGGATCGCTCCACAGCTTCGCCCTGCAGATTGGGCAAGTTTCGTGGCCCTGGTCGATCCAAGCGTCGAGGCACTCGCGATGAAACGCGTGAGCGCAGTAGCAAAGCTCCCTCACCTGGTCGCTCCCCTCCAGGCAGTTCATGCACACCGCGCACACGCCCGAGTCCGGGTCTCTCCCGCCGTCCGATGACCCTCCCCTTCTCTCCATGAACTCGCGATAGGACAACACGGGACACGGATTCCTTGCCGGCTTGGATACGTCGGAGGCGATCGGGAGCGGTACGAGTGAAGGAGAAGGCCGAGAGCCGGTCGCTGCTTCGTTTGGCTCTTCATCCGCTTCCGATGGTCCGCCGATCAGCGGGAGACGAGAGAGCAGCGACCCGATCACGTGCTTGGCGCGGCGGAGATCGAGGTTCCAGGACGCTACGGACGCGAGGGCCGGAGCTTGCTTGGTGCTCGGGTCTGGGGAACCCATGAACTCGCAAGTCGCGAGTCTCGGGAGCGAGACGAAGGAGATGGTAGAAATACGAGCTAAATGACAATGACCGGCCGACAATTACATCCCACCAAATGATACTTGAAGGGGCAATTCACGAGCTGTGGGGTGTGGTCCTTCTTGGAGGCATTACTGACGACCAAAGGACGAACGTTTACATATGCACAAATTCTCGATATTCTGCAATAACGAAATGATACGGTTCATGGGTCACATGCAATTTACTATTGCGGTACATAATTATATTATATTTATACGCAAATCTCTTGTATCTTTTGTATAGATTGATGCGAGCTAACTCTAATGCTTGCAGAGTGCGAGAATCAAACTTCACATCTGTGATATTAGTTTTTCTATTCCTTTAATTCCTTTATCAGTAGGATTGCATATGCCTGTTGGCCTTTGCCCTTGCACTTGGCCTTTTTTTAATGGCCACTTGGTATGTGATCCTTTGGAGTTGAAACAAATTAGGGCACCGAAAACGCGAGGGGTTTGGATGAGCAATGATTCTTATAGTAATTGATTACCCCCATTCATTGGGAAGCACAAGTACTGTGATGTTAGCCAGTGCCAATTAATTACGGTTGGAAGCAGAAGTTGGGGGGGTAATCAATATTTTGTGATGTTGGTCGATGCCGATTAATTCGAAGTTGGATTGCTCCGGCAGTTGTTGAGCTCGTGCATATACATTGGTCCTCTCACCTAACATGCACAGTACTCTATTGGGCGATCATTATCACAATTAAAAAAAATTTAAATTTATTATACGAATACTAATTAATGAGAAAGTATTAGGTCATCTCAGATCTCGAACCAATCAAGAAGTGACGCGTGGCTCTACGTGGGCGAATGGCCTCCGCTGGCTTTTCCGCCCCAAAATACATTATTTTCCCCATTTCTCTCTCCTCTGTTCTGTACGCTTGCTGTTGCACGGATTAATGGCGCTTTCTCTCTCCCCCTTTCTAAAGAAAGAATACCCACGCTATAGCTTCCCTCTCCTCCTTTCTTTCATTCTGAATTCAAAATTTTGGGTCATCTTTGCTCTCTACCCTCGTTGCGTTGCTTCTTCGGCCCGCTCCGACGCCGGTTCATCTTCGCTCTCTGCCCCAAAACTCGTTGCTTCTCTGACCTGGATTGTGGTTTCCTGCACAAGACGGTGAGGAATGTTCTTGTTGTAAGTCGCAGACTCTAAGCAATTCGAAGTTCCGGCTCTCTTTGATTCGGCTCGCGGCATGATTAAACAGTGAATTGATTCTTTTCCAGATTTTTCTACTTTTTGTTGCTGTTATTTTTTTAGTTTCTTTTATTGGTGGGTAATTGCACGAGCTTGGCTATTGAGTCGACAGTTTTGCCCGTGAGTGTCCGGTGTTGTGATTTTTGGGAGGTTTGGTTTGACTAGGACAGCATTGAGTTTCAATCTGAGGTGAAACGAATGGTTGGAAGTTACCGCAAAACCAAGGACGTTAGCAGAAAACGAATGATTTGTAATATTGGATATGATGTCGAAGCCTACCGAGGGACTTGTCTAGTTTTTCTATTTTTGGCTTTTGTCTTCAAGTATTTCAGTGAAAGTAATTCGATCACATCATGATATTATCTCGCAGTACCTTAATGTTGCGAAGAAAGCATTATGTCACTTTTGAGCTAAATGCTGTGTTGCTACGCCTATATAACAATTCTCTTTAATATAGACTATGTATATAAAAACACAAAATCCACAATGTAACCTTCTTTTGTCCAAATTTTATCCACGGTCCATGTTAAAGAAAATTGTTATATAGGCAAAACAACACAATATTTAGCTCAAAAGTGACATAATGCTTTATTCACAGCATTAAGGTATTGCGAGATAATGTCATGATGTGATCGAATTACTTCCACTGAAATACTTGAAGACAAAAGCCAAAAACAGAAAAACTAGACAAGTCCTCGGTAAACTTCGACATCGTATCTAATATTATAAATCATTCGTTTTCTACTAACTTCCCTGATTTTGCGGTAACTTTTAACTATTCATTTCGCCTCGAACTGAAACTCAATGCCGTCTAGACAAACCAAACCTCCCAAAAATCACAACACTGGACACTTACGGCAAAACTACCAACTAAATAGCCAAACTCGTGCAACTACCCACCAATAAAAGAAACTAAAACTAAAAAAAATAACAGCAACAAAAAGTACAAAAATCAGGGAAAGAATCAACTCACTGTTTAACCGAGCCATGAACCGCGAGCCGAACCAAAGTGAGCCAGAAGTTCGAATTGCTTGGAGTCTGCAACTTACAACAAGAACATTCTTCACCGTCTTGCGCAGGGAAACCACAATCCAGGCCGGCGTAGGTCGGAGAAGCAACGAGCTTTGGGGCAGAAAGCGAAGATGAACCGGCGCCAGAGTAAGCCGGAGAAGCAACGCAACGCAGGCCAGAGAAGCAATGAGCTTTGGGACAGAGAGCGAAGATGAACTGGCGCCGAAGCATGCCGAAGAAGCAACGCAACGCCCAGAGAAGCAACAAGCTTTGGGGCAGAGAGCATAGATGAACCAGCGTCAGAGCGTCGGTATTCAGAATGAAAGCAACGCAACAAGAGTAGAGAGCGAAGGTGACCCAAAATTTTGAATTCAGAATGAAAGAAAGGAGGAGAGGGAAGCTGGAGCGTCGGTATTCTTTCTTCAGAAAGGAGGAGAGAGAAAGCGCCATTAATGCGTGCAGCAGTAGGCGTACTCGCATGAACAGTGACGGAACAGAACAGAGGAGAGAGAAATGGCTTGTGCAGAAATGGGAAAATGGGGAAATAAGGGATTGTTTGGTAATCGGTTAATAGTATCCAATTCTATTTTTTCGTTTTTCGAAATAAAAAAAAGAACATAAATTTATTTGGTAAATTTTTTGTTCTTAAGTATAAATTTGTTCCCAGAATTAGTTTCGGAATAGAATCAAAAGTAAAAAAAAAAGGTTGATTCTTGATTCTAGGAACAAAAATCAAAAATAAAAAAAAAAATTTATTTTTCTTATTCTTCTTTTTGGTTAGTTGCCAGTCGGCCATAGGCCAGGGTTGGCGAGGGCGGCTTGCGGCCTGGGCAAGGGCGGCTTGCGGCCTAGGCAAGGGTCAAGGAAGGGAAAGAAGAAAAAAAGAAAAGAAAAAAAAAGGAAAAAAGAGAGAGAAAGAAATATTAAAAAAATACAAATTTTTATTAATAAAAAGAAATTTGTATAGTTACTAAACGCATTTATATTCTTTTTCTATTACAGTAATAGAAATTTTGGGCAGTTACCAAATGTCTTTAAATGCTTAGAAATTATTTTCGGGAATGAAATAAAAAAAAATCATTTCTGAACAGAAATTGTTTCCAAAAACAGAATGGTTACCAAATGCACCCAATATATTTTGTGCGGAAAAGCCAGCGGGGGCCACTCGCACACGTGGAGCTACGCGTCACTTCCTGATTAGTCTGGGACCACGCTGACGTGAAGGTCCGGGATCACCTAATATTTTCTATTAATTCAGCCTTATAACTTTCAATTTGATCAATTTAGTCATAAATATTTTGATAATTTATTAACATAGACTTTCCGACTAATTTTACCCGAAAATCACTAACTGGGATGCTGGTCATCCTACGTGGCACAACTGACGCTGATGTAGACAATATTTATAATTATTTTTTTGAATTTTTTTCATTTTGATCGAGGGTCGTCGATTGACCTTGGCGAGGGCCTACAACCCTCACGAGCGTTGGGCGAGGGTCGCGATGCTCTCGCCAAATCTGGGCCAAGAGAAGGTGGCGTCGCCCTCACCAAATCTAGGAAGTTGCCAGCGACCTCCATTACAGAAAGAAAAGGAAAGGAAAAAAACTAAGGACAAACTTCAGAAAGACTATATGTTTCGACTTTTTGGGAAATCTTCCCACTCCATTGCTAGTATCACTTGTTTAGCTTCAGCAAAGATTCGGGTATAACAGAGGAAAGGGCAATAAAAGCTCTATATATATTGCCTTGTCGTAGAAGATATGGGTAAAGATCGTGAAAGGAGGTAGGACCCCGACGCCCCAAAAGCAGTCGCGCATGCCTTTGACATCACCTGTGCATCTACAGCGTACCAGGAATACATGTCAGAGAAGAAAAATAAACGGACAATGTGGAAAGGGATGTCCAACCAAAATGAGTTGACGATTCAGCTCCTAGAGAACCTTCTTCGCCGGAACAATCTCGATTAGCTTGGTGGACCCTCTTAGTTTTAGACTGTTATGCGAAGCCGTTCTTACAATTTCTCTCCCAATAAGCAAGCCGATTGAGCAATGCATGATGACCCGTGGGCGGACTAGGCCTGCTCACAAGCCCTTCAAAGTTACGTACGCGTTTTCTGCATATTCGATTGCATGGAGCTCACCTCGAACCCGAAGTAGAGGTGATCGGTTTCCACTCAAGAACCGGGAACTGAACCAGAGGAACCGGTTCCCCTTTTCTTGGAATCGGGAATCGGATCACCCGGCCCATTGGGTGGGCCGATGGAAGCGGAGGCATGTTCCTGGGTGGGCCAATAATCTGGCAGACCAATGTGTTCAATAGTGTGGAAGCAAATCAAGAAAGAGGGAAAACTCCATTGTTGAGCTCTCTCTCTATTCATGAACAAGATCCTCACGCTCAGGAGGACCCAAATAAGTGTTGCCTGCGGCTTCGCTTTCCTGGAGAATCGATTCGACCCAAAGAAATGGTGAATGCGACCCTTTGCTGTGCACTGCCCAATCGCACCTCCTGCAAATCACATCTTCGACTTCTCCTAACCCCAGCTCGCTGCTTCTCAGACTCTCTCTGGTTATGGAGACGATGAAGGGCCAGGTCATTTTGGTAGAGGAAGACAAAGCTCCGAGCTCGTCGGAGATGGTCGCTCTTCGCCAGCTCATTCTTCTTCGCCACGCCAAGAGCTCCTGGTCTGACCGTTCCCTTAGAGGTTCATTTTCTTTTCCGGAAAAAGGGATATTCAATCACATAGTTGCATTCAACGGCTCTTGTCCAAAAATGCGATTCTTTTTTCTTATCTAAATGTTTGAGGATTGCTGCATTGTCTGAGAGAATAAGATCGGCAAAGTGAAAGCTTCACTTAAGTCTTTTGAGTGTCTAGGCAATTTTTGAAATCAGTCCGATCAAGGTAGGCGCTTCCACACATGAAAACGAGAATCAAATCGAAAATCACTGGTTCCAATTTTTTAGAACTGGAAACCGGACCGGTGCTCCCAAAAACCCCCCTAGAACTTGCCGATTCGATTCGGTCTAGGCAGTTCCTTTTGTACATCCCTAACTTGGAGGTGAGATTTGATCAATGATCCCCGTTTGAGGCAAGCCGCAGTAGTCTTTGTTCGTCAACAGATCCACCTAATCAGAGAGATGCTCGTCATCGGACAACAATCAAAATTTGGTCAGTCCGCGTGATTCGGTATCGATCCATGAAAACCAATACCAAACCAACTCCCTGATTTCGAAGAATTCAATTCGGATAGCCAATCGAAACATCCAAAGGATTGGCAAAATAACGTAGTCTAGGATAAGTGAACAGAGAGAGAGAGAGAGAGACTGTGTCATGAATCACAATGATCTAGACAGACACCACAGATTCACGGCGTGAACTTGTTCACAATCCAATCACGTTAGCGAGGTTCTGATACCGCGATTAGATTACAGTGACAAAATACACCAACTTGATCCGTCTCCAAGGACCTTGCAAAAGGAGAACAGACTTCACCTGACAACTGAATAATATCCAACCGTGACGGGAGCAATCTCCATCCTACTATGACCTACTTGTTATACAACCCGCATACAGCCTGAAGAATGCCGACACGCCAATAAGTAACACGTTCATCAAGCAGCTCCACGGTAGGCGACTCTGAAAAGATAAAATAGCAACTTCATGAAGATAAAATAGCAACTTCATGATATAACACCACACATGCTAAAAAGGATAGGCAAATATAAGCCGACCGAATCAGGAAACCAGTAACAAGTAGTCTTGGAGTTTTTAAATCGAGAAGAGAGCGGAAATGCTATGCATGCAGGATAACTGACAACAATAGCACTGGATAGAAAGCTGTAAACCAGCTTCATCCTCCTAGTTCTAACAATTTGTCCAAAGTTTTCATCCATAGTAATGCTACTGTTAGGCAGGATGGTGACAGCACTGCACTTAGTTAAGCAGCTCTCCCATGTTGCAAGACATTTTTTTATGTATATATCATGCTTGACTTACCAGGACGAAAGGACAGACAATTACAAAAGATCTTGGTAAGATATCTTATGGGCAGGCACATACACTGCAGTATTATGCTGCATTGATGGCGTAAAGGTGTTGTTATCAAAATGAAAAGCTTCTTGGTTAATTTTATCAGCCATTAAAATGAAATCTCAGCAATCTCATCAGGACTCATCAGCCTTTCCCAAACTTACAGAAACAGTATCAAATTATCAATCCAGTATCCAGTCTGAGGTAGCAGATGCAGCAAAGGCAATAGAGAACAGATTTTGAAAGAGCAAGAAGATCAAACTACGTCATTTGAGAACGCATGTGCCTCAACCGACACATCTAAACAGTGGCCAGAGGAAAAACATTCGATCCATATGGCCATAACCAAATGCTTTGGACTCGACTTGCCCTTGCGGTTTGAACTTCTAAAATAAGCAATGCCATTATTCAGGACATGAATTGCCAAAGCTGACTTGAGCAGCAGGAGACCATAATGGTACTAATAGACCACGCAGGTTCATTTTATGTGGCAATGAGTCACTGACTTTTGACAAGATAACCAAACATAATGAAAAGAGGAGGCTAAGCGCGTGCTACTAGAAAGCTACAGTGGCTGAGCCATGTGTTTAAACAAAGAAAAGTCTAAAGACTCCATTTTATTATATCAGCTTTAAGTGGACAATGTGAAACCCCAACCCTGCACCAGGTCTCAGCAGTCAATACTTCCTAGCTATTGACTTTAGCTACAAGACTCCCTGAATAAACGGTAAACTATTTGTGAATGGATTAGACCGGCAAAAGATTATCAACAAATTGCATGTTCGAGGAGGCCAATTCAATCCTACCCCAAAATCCATGAATGAGGCTGGAGAGTGGTAACATCCGACGGGTTGAGATTGCCAAACATGAGACGAGACAAAATGACATTCAAGGAAGTTAGGGAATGAGTCCTCTGACAGGGTTGGAGAGAACTCATAGAACACAGTCTCATCACTCTGCGGTTATAGTCAGTGACGAATGATATTATCCACAGTCTTGGGATGTTCAAAGAGAGCTCTCACTGTACCATTTAAAAAATCATAAAGGCCACCTTCGGTAAGTAATGTTGGCAAATGATTTGAGCTATTACTACCAGACAGCACATGCACTTCAACATGATGTCTAAGAACCAATATGAAACCCAGTGAAAGTGATGAAGCTCCTGGAAAACAAGCTAGAATAGTTAGCCAACTATAATTCTCAAGGTAGAATTGGCCTTCCATAATTCTGGGATAACTAGCTCACGGGAAACAACAACAATTCATGAAAGCAAGCTTCAAATCACTTGAACTAACATATAACTCAACAACCACGAAAGAGAAACTTCAGACCTCAAATTTCCAAGCGCTACATTTCATTCAACTTCGAAGAGCATTTCATTTAGGCAACGAACAACCTAAACTGTTCATCTAGACAGAACACTCAAGCTCAGCAACTCCTAGGCATTGAACCATCCTGTGACCAAGACCATTGACTACTTACTGAGATAGAGAGATTTTTCACACCTCAAACTTTCAAAAGCTGCATTTTGTTGGCGAACGAGATAGCAATCCAATCCGGCTGCGCCGCACACCACTGCAACTGGTTTATCTCGGACCCAGCAGAGTACATCGACATCGGGTCAATCCCGTTGGGCCCAGCAACGGTGGGCAACTCCCAAATGAGCGCCTGAGAGTCATCCCCGGCCGAACAGATGTGCCTACTACTCTGGGGAGCCCACGCAATCGCATTCACGCTCGCCCGATGCCGCTCGAGCTCCGCGACCGGCATCGCTGGCGACCTTATGTCCAAGATCACAACTTTATTGCTGTCCATCAAAATAGTGGCCATGTATCTCAAGTCCTGCTTGTTCCAAGCCAGCCTGAGCAACGGGGTATCGGGCTGAGGGCTCTCGTAGATGATCGTGGAATGCTCCTTGTCCCTCAAATCGAAGATCCGCACCGACCCATCAGCGGAAACGGAGGCGAAAACCCTAGCCTCGCCCCAGGCAATGTCGTACACCTCCTTGTCGTGGGCGATCAGCTGCGTCTCGACCACGTTCTTCTCGATGTCCCAGATGGTGCACGTGGTGTCGATGCTGCACGTGCCGACCCGCTTCGGCTCGATCTCGTTCCAGTCGAAGGACGTCAGCGGGGCGCAGAACTCGCTCGTCTTGCTGTTGTTGAGCACCGCGACGGGCTCGATCGAGCTCTCCCGGACCTCCCAGAGGCGGAGGTAGTCGCCGGAGGAGGCCAGGAGGTCGGACTTCGAGGGGTTGCCGGAGGCCGGGTGGAACATGAGCTTGGTGGGCGGGTAGGGGTGGTCGAAGGAGAGGGCCGGGTGGGCCTTGACGGAGAGGGAGTCCGGGTCGAAGGAGACGACGTCGACCCGGTTGGTGTACTCCTCGAGGAAGCTCCCGACGGCGATGCGGTGGTGGTGGCGGGCGGCGGCGGCGGCGGCGGGGGAGGAGGAGACGGCCATGGCGTAGAGCGGGTAGGGGGACTCGTGGGTCACCGAGTTCTCGGATCGCAGGTGGTGGGATTCCTGGGTCGAGTTCTCCATCTCCGGATTTTCTCGGGAAAGAGAGAGGGAAAATGTCCTGGGGGCAAATTTTTTCCCGGGAAAATGGACGAGGCGGGGGGGCTTCGGGGGGGACTGCACGGGGGAGGAGAAGTATTTAAGGCCTGATGTCGTTTTGGCCCGACGGGGAGGTTCAAAACGGCGGCTGTCGTTCATCTAACTTTGTCGCTGGGAACGGGTTGAAAAACGGGGAGCGTTCAACGCTGACTAGCTGGAGGGGGCAGGGGGTGCCACGTGGGTTGGACCGAGACCGGGACACCGACACAGAGCGCGTGCGCGTGCGCGTGCGCATGACTCGGTCAGACCGGACACATTTGTTTTGACCAGTCTCGGCTCGTGAAGGCAGAAAGCAAGCCGCCCAAGAAAGATGGAAACATCGTTTTAAAGAAGGTCAGCATGCCCCATTCTATAACCCTTTAGATCGCAAAGTTAGACTCCATACCGGGAGAGAGCAAGACTTGATTTGCCGAGAAACGATCCTTAGGAACGGGATAAGCCTTGAACATCTTCCAAAAAATGTATATTTGTATTTAAAATATTTAATGGTAGTCTTATATTTAATAGTATAGAAAGTAGTTGAGAAGAATGAATATATGGGGTGTTTTTCCCCTCATTTGTATCATTCAACATTTGAACAGTAGAATTACTTTCTCTTTCAAAGCCCCTCTCTCTCTCTCTCTCTCTCTAAACGCTTTCTCTTTCTAGTTTCTACAAATCAGTTGATCTAGTGAGCGAGTGATCGATCATTGGGAAAAAGGCTTAGCTTAGGTGATCCAACGAATTAAAGGAAGCCTAAGTTGCCGCACAGCCTCGATATCAAATATTGGCTCGTGATAATAGCGTGTAATCGTTGCCGTAAGAGCATAATCTTGATAATTGAACAAATAATAACCAAAAAGTAAGCTTTTTGCGAGCACGAAAAGATGTGACATCTCCTATTTGAGTTTTACGCGACATAACTTCATTGGTTCATACCTTAAGAAGACGTTTTTCCCCCTCCGGACAACCGGGCATGGCGGGGGATTTCTTGAAGGAGTTACTGATGCTTCGGCTCTGAACGATCAGGATCCAAAGTGTTGAATCTCTAGATGGAAAGAAGAGCTAAGGATGAGTGCGTTTAGTTTATGAAGTTGAATTCACCTGGAATATTAAATCGTACGATCCGTGTTAAAGCTTAACAACTCATGCGAGTTTGGCTGACTCGCATGATCTAGAACTCACTGTAATCAAAGTTCTTTGTCAGAGAGAGAGAGAGTGTGTGTCTGTGTGTGTTTGACTCGTCAAAAGATGAGTTCATGGTTTGACTGGGCTAACATGAATTGGGCCCAGATCTTTCGGCAATGGAAAGTGAGTGGGTCGAAATCTGGCCCTTTTTAACTTGCAACTTGTTGGATTGTACCGTCTGTAATGTTTAACTACAAGATGTTGTGGACCCGATAATGAACACGGAGTCTCAAATTCCATCTGTAAAACCTGACCTCTTCGAACTGCAAGTGTTGAATTAGGCCTCGAACCATCAGCACGGCCCAACCCATGAGGTAGACGTAGCTCGTTTAAGTGCAAAGATGGGGCCAGTTACCTAAAGCTAAGAAATTCAAGATTTCCTGAAAACTCTGCAAGTTTAATATCTGTTAGTAAAAGAAAGAACGGATATCCGAGACGTGCAAACGCCGTTCTTAAGGATAATTTTGCCTCTTGGAGTATGAAATCCAGTGCATCTAGCTCTAGCGGTTATACTCCCAGATACAACAGATCTTCCTTTTTACTTCTCACAGAGTAATCGAGGGAATAGGAAGAACATCGTTATATGTAAAACCCAGCAAATAAATGAAAAGAAAATAGAGAATTTCTTGTTTTTGGTATATTTTTATTGTGATTTGGAGATTTTCTTTGTAGACATATAAAGGAGACGGTTAACAAAGAAATAAATCAAAGCCAACGTTACAAAGCCGTTACAAATTGATTAGAGTCATACTTTCCAATCAAGTCGTTACAAAAAAATTGCTTTGAATAGTTCAAAACCGTTGAAATACCCAACAATCCCCCACGTATTTCAAAAGTTTTGAAAAGAAAAGAAAAAACATAAATGTTGGGTTAAACTCGATTGAATGTAATGCATCGGAACTGATGCTCGTTAATCTATGAACCAGATCTAGGAAGAATGAAATAATAATGCACGAAATAATTGGTGAAGTTTGAAGCTTTTATGAACGAACAATTTCTTGCGTGAATTATAATTTTCACCAAACGCATTACACCCCACGAACTTTGTTGTTCGACTCGGTTTTGTGCTAATAGGCCATGCGCCTGCCTAGTTTATTCATAGGTGCTCTAAAGATTTTATCAAAATTCTCATAGGAGCGGCTCCACTCCATACTTATATAAGTGATTCTATCAAGTGTTTACTGCAATTTAATACACTACCAATAATGGCTATGGAAATCATTAAGAGCTTAACTCAAGCTCTCTTTCATTGCAGTTTTACACTACTCTCACCTTAAGAGGGACAATAATTTCTATAGATAAGTGAAATGGAAATTTTAAAATTTGTTACGAATATGCAATTGAATCATAAAACTTGCAAAAAGTGCAATCAACTCTTAAAACTCGTCAAATTGGTAAAATCAAGTCATTTCGTTAAGGGTTAATACCACGAAAAACCCTAAATTGGTACACTTGTGACACATTTACCCCAAACTATTTTTTTTACCATAAAAAATCCCAAACTGGTACACCTGTGACAATTTTACCCCAAACATACCACAAAAAACCCTAAACTGGTACACATGTGACAATTTTACCCCGAACTAATTTTTAATATTATTTTTTTGAATTTTTTCTTTTTTCTTTTCTTTTCTTTTCTTTTTTTTTCCTTCACCTTCAACCTCTGGCCGGTCGCCGGTCCGGCGACCGGCCAGAGGCGGAAGCCGGCGGAGGCCGCCCTCGCCGACGTCCGGCGAGGGCCGCCCTCGCCGGATCGGCGAGGGCGCCCTCGCCGGCGTCGGCGAGGGCTACCTCGCCGGCCGGCGAGGGCCGCCCTCGCACGATCCGCGAGGCCGCCCTCGCTGCGTCGGCGAGGGCCGTCCTCGCTTGCCCGAGGGCAAGGGCGACCCTCGCCCGACTCGAGCGAGGGCGGCCTCGCCCCACGCAGCGAGGGTCGCCCTCGCCCGGATCCGGCGTCGGGCGAGGGCTACTCGATGCCGGCGAGGGCGGCCCTCGCCGGATCTGGCGAGGGCGACCCTCGCCTGCGTCGGGCGAGGACGACCGTCGCCCGACGCTAGCGAGGGCAGCCCTCGCCGGCTTCCGCTTCTGGCCGGTTGCCGGACCGGCGACCGGCCAAGGTTTGAAGATGAAAAAAAAAAGAAAAGAAAAGAATAAAAAATAAATAAAAATTCGAAAAAAATAAAAATTAATATTAAAATTTTAATTCATGGTAAAATTGTCACATATGTACCAGTTTGGGGTTTTTTGTGGTAAGTTCAGGGTAAAATTGTCACAAGTGTACCGGTTTGGGGTTTTTTGTGGTCAAAAAAATAGTTCAGGGTAAAATTATCACAGGTGTACCAGTTTGGGGTTTTTTATGGTCAAAAAAATAGTTTGGAGTAAATGTGTCACAAGTGTACCAGTTTAGGGTTTTTCGTGGTATTAACCCTTTCGTTAATTCCGTCCAACTTGGATGACGGAAAATACTGACATAGTTTTTTTTTAATAATTTCTCTTTTCTACATGGCGTTAAGGTTAAAAGACATCGTTTTGATTAAAATTTCAATTTTTTAACCTAAATTTTAGTTAAATTATATTAAAACTAAGAAAGCTAATAGTTTTTAAAAAACCAAAAAAAAAGAGAAGAAAATACAGGGGCGGGCCCTCTTGCCAGTGGCCGCCGCCCCATCACTAGTGGGGCGTTGGCGATGGGTCGCTGGCGATAGGGCGGCGGCCACATAGGATGCCATGTAGTAGAGAGAAAATAACAAAGAAGCCATGTCATCAATGTGTGTGTGTTTTTTTTAAAAAAATTTAGCCTTTTTGTTTTTTAGTTTGTCTTTTTTTGGAAAAACTTTTGGATTTTTTAACCTAATTTAATTAAGATTTAATGTAAAATTTAGGATTCGGATCAAAACAACGTCGTTTTAGTGATTTAATTAACCTTAACGCCAAATAGGACGCCATGTAAGCGAGAGAAATTAATAAAGAAAGCCATGTCAACATTTTCCGTTAAATAAATTGAACGGAGTTAACAAAAGGACTTGATTGCACCAATTTGACTTGTTTTAAGAATTGGTTACGCTTTTTGAAAGTTTTAGGACTCAAACGCACTTTCGTGACCATTTTTAGGACTTCCACTGCACTTATTCCTAATTTTTAGTGGTGCATCACTTGATCAACAAGCGACTTGTTATTACCTATATGAACTAGGAGTGAGCGGTTCTAGATTTTTTATAGGTTCCAGATTCCTTATAGGTTCTACGTGAAACCTGAAACTTACTCTCGGGTACAGGTTTCCTATTTTTTGAAGCCTAGAACCTACCTGTCCGAACTTGGAACCTGGAACCTACTCTGTCACAGGTTTCAAGGTAGGTTCCAGGGTTTAACAGATTCCTTTTTTTTTTATTACATTTTTAGTTAAACAAAACAAAAATGAACGCAACAATACTAAACCAGTTTGTCATTGATCAAAGAAAATACAAAAGACTCGTTTTCCTGGCATTACGGTTCCAACAAATATAACTAAAATGAGAAGTCAATGTGTGAATCGATACTAGGGGTAAGCAGTTTCATGTTCTGTATACGTTCCACCCATGATAATAGGTTATTCATTTTTTGGAACTTGGAACCTACCCTATCACAGGTTCGAGGGTCAGTTCCAGAGTCTACTCAGGTTCCACTTGTATTATTAAATAAACAATTGCAGTGAATCATCACTTTTAATAACCACCACTTACTGCTATGATCTACTAACCACAATTTATATTTAGATACACGAAAAATATAAAATATTAACAAATTATAAAATGAAAGCTCAGACTAATGGTTCCAAATCATACATTCATCATCTAATGCCATGAAACACCTCAGAATCATGAGAAGACAGGTTCAGATTCCAGATTCC